TAGCCGGGTGCTTGAGATCACATGTGCCCCACTGCCATCTCACACTGACTGAAGCCTGCCAGGTCATGAACATTCGAAAGAAGCAGCAGGACCGGGCTTCGTCGGTGTCTTTGCTTTACAGATATGCTCGCTTGTGACTGTCACCTCCACTGCTGCGGTGATGGCCTGTACTTATACTAGAAGCAAGTGCTGGGAGCTGGAAGGGTCGCGGCGTGGTTTCAGTAGCTGACCTTAGGGTGAGTGAGTGAGCGAGTGTGTGTGGCTTGGCCGAGCCCCAATGTTTCCGGCTCCCGGACTTGAGTCGCGAACCTCTGAGCCATGTCAAAGCTGATCGTCCCGCTGTTAGACTCACATCTGGACGGGTCACAGATATGCCAGATATCTGCAGTCATTGCAAGACAGCAAGGAGCGTCGCGGCCCCTTTGCGAATGAACTCTGCCTGCCCCAAGCAGGCAATGAAGCCGGAAGACAAAGACGACCCTTGGCGGAGCATTCAGACAGACAGACGCGAACATGCCTACAGACCGATCGCCAAAGGCCCACCCACACACACACACACACGCACGCAACACACACACACATATATATATATATATATACACATGACGATCTTGCTTCTAGTCCATCTTTCTACTCGCCCAATCCATCTATCCGTCTACCCGTCTATGCAGTCTGTCTAACAATCTGACCATCTGCATGCAAACATACATACACGCGTACACGCGCCTGCGGACACACAGACACACGAATACACACACACACACACACGCACACATACACATGCGTGCATATGCACATACAAATCCCCATACACGTGCATACCCGTACATACGGATGACACATAACATACCATAACATGACATAACATACATAAATGCATGAGTGCATGCATTACACACCATACAAATACACATGCGCATACATATAGACGTACATACTACATACAGGCATGCATGCATGCATGCATGCATGCATGCATGCATAGGCGCGCACAGACACACAGAGAGAGAGAGAGAGGGAGAGAGAGACAGATTCATGGTTGCACACACCCCCGCATGGAAACGTCTTACAAACACATGTTAAACCCGCGGCCGGCATTGTGTGATTAGGCAGGCTACCAAGGTCAGGACGCTTTAGACTCTAGGTTGCGGAGCCTTTTCTGACAGGCAATCAAGCAAGCGGATAAGAAAGTCTATGACGAAATGAGAATGATGGTCAGGCAAGGAGACTTTGTTCGGTCCGTTTGTGTCCTTCGTTTGCTTCATGCTTGCAGCAGGAGTATGTTTAGTTGGGTGCTACGGGAACGGTCGTTTCATGCGCCAGGGACTGCTCTTGGAAACACCATATTACTGCCACAATCGTACAACAGCTCGCATGAGCGGTGGCCATCCCACCGGCACAGCCACCCAACCTTGCTTTTTTGCTCGGGGGTTGAGGCATCTGAGAGCAGCTGAAGCTTAAATCATAACTGTTTCCTTTCCTTGCAAGCGACTTTGTGCAGGTATACTCTGACCTTCATTCAGATGCTGCACGTCTCGCAGGCTTCCGCGGGGGTGCTGGAAGTGGAGCACATTAAATTTAGTCCTTGGGTCCGTTCTCCCCACGTCCTAAGAGCACCAGCATTGCTCGACCTCCCGGGCGAGTGGCCTCAAGGTGAAGAAGATGGACGACTGGTACATCGGCTTGATGGGCGTGGCCTGGGCTCTCGGCTGGTGGGCCCTGTTGTGCGCAGGGCGGTGCGATGCCCTCTTCCGTCAGAAATACAATCCTTATCGTTGCAATTGCATCTTGTTCAGCGAGTTTGGGAGCTTAGCCCGCTCCTTTCCTGAATAGCCCTCGCCAGCCAACGCACTGATGCCTTCCTTTGACAGTTCAGCTATGTTCCTGCAAGGCAGGTATAGAGTTTGATGGCCTTTATCCCGGAGTCAGTTTTTGCCGAGGCGTCCTCGTACATTGACGCGTCGAAGCAGTGGTGAGCCGATGAGCCCATGAGGGCTTGAGAGCAAGATATGTCGCTGTCGCGCTCCACTATAACCCGTTTGCAAGAGTTTAGGCGGATTCCGGTCATGATAAAAAAATGCAGGCAGCGCTCCCCGAATCGAGCTCCTAAGCTCTTTTGAGCTTTCACCTCCTGCCTCATCTTCGGATTTCGGGCGGCTTGGGCCCCCCTTTTCCTGGGCGAAAGGATTCCTTTTTATGAGGATCTGGTACCTTGGCTGTGCGTCTGCTAATCAATGAATGGGGCCTCCTATCGCTAATCAGGGAAGGGGGTGTACGGTGTTCTCTTACTCTTCCCGGCACTCTTGGCAACGACCCTCTGGTGGAGACCTGCATCCAAAAAGCAGCTGTTGTTACACAGAGAAGTGGAATCCTAGCGCCGAAGCGATTGCGTGAGCAGCTAGACAGTGGGGGCCTAGCCACCACTGCTGGACGGTGACTCCGAGCCCTCGGAAGATCTCAAAGAGCCTATGGGCCGGAGTCACGCACCAGGGGTGGAAGAAGCCTTGGCCCTCGTAGGCGAATGCCCTAAGATTTTCCCCTCTCTCCAGAGACCCGGTGCAAACCGAACCGGGGCCCCTTTGGTAGATCACACGCCGCTCTTGAAGAAGCCTGAACAATCCTGAAGAGATGTAAAATGCTTGCAGTGGTCGCCAAAGGGCAATATCCAGCGTTATCGCGCTGCTTTGCCCGGCAGGAGGCCGGTAGCAGCCTGAGCCGATGCCGGCGGAATGCGATTTGCAGTTCGAGGATTCTGGTCAGTGGCGCTCCGATTCCAGACTGTTTGATGCTCTGTTGTTGACACGGGTTAACTCGGAACTGCCTGCGGACTCGAATCAAGACGACATGGCACCATCAGGTGCGCGAAAGCCTGGCAGAGCCCAAAGGGCAGGCTGCGTCAACGTCAGCCCGCTGGCTCCAACTCAAAGCACAGCCCCCATCAATCGGATCTGGTTAGGCCCCTTCAGCGCCAGCAGATTGTCCACAGATTCAGAATGATGCAAGCACCCAACCTTGGCAGTCGGTGCATTCTTGAATTACAAGCCAGCTCATGACATTGGCGCAGCGCGAGACCCAGAGACGCGAAAAGGTGATAAAGCACTGTGGCTGACACTCCGGCCTTGGGACTCTGTGACAAGAGGACACCAAGATGTTCCAAAGTTGTCAGCCCCGACCCTCTGCAGAGTTCCACAATCGCAAGGGCCTGTGTCAACCTGTTGCTTCTTGCTCGCCAGCTGCAGAGTTACATCCAAAACTAAACTTGGAGTAGAAGTATGCACAGCTCGGACGACGTCGACTAGCTTACACTTAGCCGACAGGAGCCTTGTCTGCCTGGCCCGCCTGGCTTCTGGCTTGCTTCTCGTGCAAAGCACTTCCAAGCCGAGCCCCTTCGTGTGGTCTTTGGATGAGGCCGAGAGATGCTAGGAGATTGAAGCGTTGCCTCACCATCCCTTGGAGTCAAAGAGCACAGCCCGTTCACCTTTCGCAGTTCGGCCCTTGGTGCCGTTGGTGGCTTCGTCGGTGGCGTCTTTGGCGGCGTCTTCGGCGGTGTCATCGAGGGCGTCAGGAGACGCCCCCCGGGAGTTTAGCTGTCGAACTGAGAAGCTGCTTGTAGGCGTGGGCTTTTTTCGGTTGGCGCTTACGGACTGCAAGGGGGCGCACGTAGACGCATGAGCAGGGCTTGGTTAATCGAAATTTTCGCACAAGGCCACGATTCAGTACAGCTTTCGCAGTGATGACGAATGGCTCCCTGCGCTGCGCGCGTAAGGCAGCCCCACAGCCCCACTCCCCCGAGAGCAATGGCCAAAAGGCAGGCATCAGAGCGCCAAAGCATAAGCCATGGCGACACCAGTCGTTCATCGCGTGACTATCCTCCTCGTCCTCATCCTCCCCTGGCATGACTGCCATTTAGCACTGGTATGACTACGACGCTTCTTATGGCTGTTTACGAGTTTTATGATCATCAGCATCATCGTTCCTAGGTTTAACGTCATCATCATCGTCGTCGTTGTCATCTACCGGCCGCTATCATCAGCATCCGTCACCAGCCATCGCCCTCGACATTATGCAGTCATCACGACCGTCGGGATCGAAGCAATCATTTCCATCCTTTGTGTTTCCATGCATTTCCTGCATCATGGCTGCTTCTTGCAGGGGCGTGGCCTGCCACTCCGGAGACGCTGACAAGGAGAACTGAGCAAGGGTAGGTCCACACGAAACCCTGCACACTGGGCCTCGACATGCCTCGACTCACGAATCCGGCAGAGTCTCTAAAAGCCTTAAGTCAGCTGCAACTCCCGGAGCTCCAGAGCTTGCATTTTGGTGGCGCCACAAGTGATCTGATGTGGAATGCTGTCTGAATACATGACACAGTGTTCGCTTCATCTCCGCGGCAGTCACATTCCCGGTTAGCCAAGAGGACGCCTATGACGATGAGAACATCTTCGAGCAACGCGCAAAGCTCGACCAGGCCATCGCATTTCTGCGTTGCTTCGTTTGAATCAGTTTGAAGTGCTTGCCAGCCAGCAAGACACATGTTGAACCTGAGAGGGCTTTCTGAATTCTGGGTCCTCTGCAGAACTGTACGTCAGGTGCTGCAGTTCTTCGAGCTGGAGTACGAGCATCCCGTCCTGGACTGTCACAGTGGGGATTGCTTGCAAGGCATATGGCCAGGTCAAGAACGGAGCTGAAGCTACGAAAGCAGCAGCAAAAGAACTGTAGGAATTTGCTGAGAGCACTCTGCATGTCAACTGTCAAGTCGGCAATGTCACGCTGTCATCCCTACTGTCGCTCAGACGTGCCTTTCCATATTTTGACGCCTGAAGATACGAGGAATGCTCAACTCTCGGATGAAAGCTACTGAGGAAGTTCAGTGGATATTTTGACGACCCGCAGAGGTGGGCCTTCGGGGAAAAGGTCTGGCATTGGCTTCAGGTTGTCTCCCAGATCCTTGCTTCGCCAGAATGTCTTTTCTCTTTGTGATGGGCAAATCGCGGGCCAGGATGGAAAGCATGCGAGTCGAATACTACAACTGCATCAATGCCATCGAGTTCCAGCAGCTTGGCGGAACTTTACGATGGCTCGGGGTCCAGGCGAATGAACTCTCACATCTCTCACGGAGTCTTGGTGACCTGTGGCTCCTTCGGCGGTCCCCTACATGCTTCCTCCTAACCTGAAAGTTTTCCGGCGACTTGCGATGAGAGGCGGCATACTGAAGAAGCTTGATTTCTAGCGGAGTGCCATAGCGATTGATGCAAACCTTGGCCAGGAGCATCTCAAGCGGTGTGCTGACTAACTGAGGAGCGAGGTTCTCTCTCAGCTGGTGCCGCTGCTGCAATTCGATTCCATGCCACGTTTGGTTTTGCCATAGTGCCTGAGCGGGGCCCCGCTGCGACCACCCCAGATTTTAAGTCTTGTTTTGAGGTCGGGTTTTCTGACAACTCCCGATGTCCGCGTTGTTCAGTTGATGTCTTGTAAAACACTCCGAGTCTCGTTTTTTAGCCGATTCAAGCGGCCCTCGACTCCTGCTCAGAGGCTCTTCGCGTCCTCCCGAGGTCGAGGAGCTGCTGGCCTTGCGCGGCGCGCTGCGGCGCGGCGAAGCCGGGGCCCCGGCCGAAAGCGAGGCGAAAGCGAGAGATCACCTCGGGGACGAAAGCCGTATAGCACATAGCGGCATGGTGCGGCATGAGCGGAGCTTTGTGCACTGCTCCAGGCAGAATAGGCATCAAAAAAAATTGATAAGCATGTTAACAAAATTTGATAAACACCCTAAAAAATCCTAAGCCCTCCACGGACTTTTTCTTGATGCCTATCAATGTTGTTTTGATGCCTACTGTCTAAACCCTAAAAAACCCTCCAAGCAAATTTGTGTTTGATGCCTATCATTTTTTATGGCTACCGTGGTAAATATCTGTTTTTGATGCGTCAGCCGCTCCAGGCTCTCGAGATGTCAAGGAAGGCGCGATGGCCCATCTCTTCTTTTCACGAGTGTCAGAGTCTCGCATGACATGCAGGCAGCCGAGCAGTAGCCAGTTTCTGTAGTCTTCACCGGCTGCCGGTGCTATCACTTCCCGAACAACTGCTTCAAGTTACACTTAAGGGCTGCGCCGATACACTACATGTCAATCTTGAGCCAAAGGCTGTCACCGTGCCTTCAGTCCTTTGTACTGCCCGTGACCACCTCCTCTGCCTGGAACTACACATGGCACGTGGATCTGGAGCTTGCCGAAACTACTGCATCCGTTGAAGCCCGAACCTAGGCAGCGAGACCTGCTGGGCTAGCTGCACAGGATCTTTCAATCCGGCTGGCGAACCTCAAGGTGGACATCTCCGACAGGAAGACGAAGCGCTTCTTCAAGGACAGGCTGCAGGGGCGGGGAGAGTTGACAGCCTTGGAACCCGTCTCGGTCTTCCAGAGCTGCCGCTGCTGGATGGACTATGGCTTTGGGTTTGGGTCAGAGGATATGCAGGGAAAGCAGTTGCCATGCAGAAAGATCGAGAACAAGCTTCGGCGGTCGGGCGAAGGTTCCGACCACTTGGTGCTCGGTATAGATAGATGGCGGAAGACCGCAAGTTGTGGTCAGGAGAAGGAGCGGAGGCAGCTGCTGGAGACACTTAGCCCGGCTGCACTCTCAGTCATGTTCTAGTGGACGAAAGACCGATAAAGACCGTATTCATGGTTTAAGTTATTTGAGTGGGCAAAAAACGTGATGCCCCCGGCCCCGGTCGATGTTAAAGCGGAGGGCCACCCCCCCTCACTTGTTGCGACAATTGGGAGCTTCTGCCGTGACAAGGCAATCGCGGACGCCAAGACACAGCGGCCAGAGCCCTATCGCGTGCAAGGAGAGGATGCTCTCTTCTTAGTAAAACTTCTTATGTAAGAGCTTGATAGCTGATAGCTGTAGTGTCGCGCGGTGGCGGTGGCGACCCCCCTCATCAACAGCACCCTTGCGCTGCTTGCTCTGCTTGCGATTAAGAGGAATCTAGTGACCATCGTACGCAGTCACCTTTGTAAAACACAGGAGACGGAACCGGAGGAAGCATCCTGTTGTTGGAACATCAATTCGCCAAGCTAGTTTGCAGGCTTCTGGCCGAGCAAGCAGGCAGCGCAGGCCGCGATTTCAGTTTTCAAAGCACCTGATAGCTGCATGTGATTGCTGCTGGAATTTTCAGGCACATAAGGCAGTTCGAGTCTGGCCACAACAACGACGAACTCCGAAAGCATTGATTGCTTGCACCTTGCAACTCGACCCAGTTGAAAGCACTCCTATGGATGCAGCCCCGCAATCTGCCCACATGGAGGCCGCGGGAGCTCGTGAGATTTGGGTTTCGGGGTTTAGGGCCTAGCTTCAGCCTTGAGTATTGGGCAGAGGTGTTCGAACCCGTTCTGCTAGGATGAAGGCCTGGTTGTCAAGCTTGGCGTACCCGAGTAGCTGGAAGCGTGTAGCTGCAAGCTGATCGGTTTCAGCGCTCCCGGTCCCAGCACGACCACCAACACCGCCACGATACATTCGGAGCCGCAGTCATTGTGCTTCGAGCCATGCAGAAGTCACAAGCATGAAGCTGCCACTACGATTTGCAGAAGCCGAGGCCCACCCGGAGTTCGGGAACCCACAAGGCGTACCGACTGGCCAGGTGTTAAAACAAGGGCCAGCTAAACAACCTCCTTCTAGCGGACTGACAGTCTTAGGTTCGAGTATCATTCTGACAGCCATGGTGCTCCTTCGGCTTGTCGCTGCACCGTGGGTGCCCCCGATTGACATGGCGGGAGAGGGTAGCCAACACATAACAGCGCCAGGCAACTGCGAGATTGCATTTGCATGTAATACAGCCTAGCATGCATTCGGGAAGAAGTCGTGGACATGTCACTAAGATTCTGAAAAAAATCTCGAACCACTCCTGGCCTGGAACGGAAGGAGTTATGGACGCTGAGGCTATGCACCTCATGGCACTTGCCTATGCCACCCTTTACGACACCGATGCCCGAAAGATGCCTCCTCAATCCTGACGGTTGAAGCTCGGAATTCATTCTGCCCCAACGCCTTAGTCTAAGTATTTGGGCCTAGGTTCCGTGCCAGCTGCTCTCAGGAAGCTAAGCTGTTCCTAGCTCTTTCCCACAGATGATGTCACTGCTCAAGCTGAAAGCAAGGTACTGCTGCTGCTGTTGCGGCCATCCGCATGCGTGTATTCCGGCTGACCTGGCCCACACTGCACAAGTTGCCTCTGTCCTTCCAGTTGTAGTGACCGTGGAGGCAGACATGAGAACTGGCGGAAGATCAGCACTCACTACTTGCACTACTTCATCATGCTTTATCTGCCACTACTCGCCTGGAGCCTGCAGCACGTGAGGCAGCAGCTGAATGATGAGACTTTCGAGCACCAGACGCAGGTGCTTCGTGGCTGACGGGGCTTAGGGGACAGAAGGTCAACCCGAATTGCCTCAGGCTCGAGTGGAACGACAAGGTTTCTAGAAGCGATGGATTGTGCGAAGTCGATGAGCTAGGCCCAGGCCAGTTGCCCTCGAGACCTTCCCGACTCCTTGCCGCAGGCATCGACAGGCATGACAACTGGGAGCTGGCTCGTAACGCCAGCGGCCAAGTGTAAGGTGTCGGTAGGGGCAACACGATTTGCAAGTGAGAGGAAGTTAGCTTCATTTGTTCATAGCTCCCTCAGAGCGGAAAGCACGATCAGCCCAAAGCGGGAACTGGTGCCGCAAGAGTGCCTCATTTCTCAGGACAGCTGGCAAATTTCATGGCTCCAACGTGAAAGAAGTTCCAAATTTTGAGATTGTGCCAAGCGTGCGGCGAGATCACCCCGAAGTCAGTTTTCGAATCGCTCGATTCATTGCTGAAGGTTTGGAGCGAACGGCTGCAGCAGCTGTGGCGAATTTCGAGAGGCACCTGATCGTCACGACAGGGTGCTGAGACACTCAGTGTCGTTGTTTTGGCAATCGGCTAATTGCTCATCGTCGCATGCAATCGTTCGAACGGTCACATTTTTGCGAAACCGGCCAGCATTGAGTCAGCAGTCTTTTGTCGGAGGATTAAGGACTGAATTCACTCTTCGTCAAACGAAGGTGCTTCCCACAAGCATCGCAACAGCTCGAAAATACCCACCCCACGCCAACAGACTACATGCCGGAAGCAACATGTTGAACCAACCTAGCATCTTAAAAAGCTGCGACCATGTTGACAGCAGCGATGAGAGCAATGTGCATAGCCTAGACGTATCCACAGTCTAAGGATCCTTCCAAACGGACCCAGAAACATGTCCATCCTCTTCGAGCCTCATTTGCCACGCTGTACCGTGCTGTGGTGGTAACTGATGGTCGCAAGAAATGAGTACATGTGGTTATGGCAACAAGACTCTCATCCTAGTACTCCGCGTCCTGCGGACCGTCATAGATTAGTAGTTCTCAGTGGCTTCAATAAAATCTTCGACGCAGGCCTTGGATGGAGTGGAAGAGGATCGGTGTGGGACTTGAGCACTGCTGCATAGGCTGGCATGGTGAGAACGTGCTATGCTCCGTCCGCAGGAGCTTCGAGACATTTATGTGATCCCTGCTCATGTGGACAAAGCGGACAGCGCAGGACTGTCGAGGGTATCAGTTCTGCGGACTACAAACTCAACACGGTGGTCATATGCACTCAGCTATGACGGAAACTGCGATCACAAAGGAAATACCTTTTCTACGTCAGTGCTGGTGGTCCCAACGGAGATAAAGGATAATGTGCTGTAGTGCAAGTAGTCTTCTTTATCAGAGCTTGAAGAAATCCAATTTCCATTTTGTTCGATGCTCTATGATCTAGTCAGCTATCGACTCCATTGTTTAGTCCTGTTCATCCTGGTATGGCTCTCGGGCATGTTGTACCAACCGGTAGTGTATTCCCTGCTTTATTCAGCGGCTATCATGCTCGAAGCGAAGGCTTGTGGAAGCGATTTGGCATCAGCGAGGCAGGAGCAAGAAAAAGGGCTACAGAACTCATTTACTCTTGGGATTTCTAATCGGATTTTGGGCCTTTCGGGGTTTGGGCCTTGTGGGGTGTTGGTTTTGGCGGGACGCTTGGGGCTTGGGAGATGAGACATGGCAAGTACAGTTATCTCCTTTCAAGTCACGGTAGGAAAAGTAGCGAGAGCACAAGACGTCGCTGGTTGCATTCTAGTTGCATGTTGCACGGATGAAGCTCAAGACCCTACTGTATTATGCATAATGCTAATGCAAACAAAGACATACATACCTATGTACATACTTGTATGTATATTAGATATGCATATTATATATATAGATATATATGTATATATATATATTGCTTTATGAATTTCGTTAGTTGGAGGCCATTGCACTTAAGCGTGCCCACGAAGCCTCAGAGAAGCAAGTTTACTTCGGCCTTCCGGCAGCATCACCTGCTCAGGTGCCCTGGACGCTGCTTTTCGCGAAGCACAAGCTGTACCGCTACACGGGCGCCCAGGACTGGCAAAGTCCTGCTGCAAGTGTTTCCAAGCCAGTACAGTAGTGGTTGGCTTTCAGTATGGCGATGCCGCTTCCGATTTTCGGGTGTAGCTTTGCAGCTTTGAAGTTGGAGGAAAGACAATAAAGGGTCGAATCCAACAGATCCTGTTGAAGCATTTCCACATGGATTTCTCGGGCTTAGGAGATGTCATTACTCGTAGTAGCTACTTTCTCGGTGCAGTCTTCAGCATCTTGCTCCACTGCTCAAGTGTGCATGCTGGTAATGGACACGGACAACAGCAGCAACAGCAATGCGGCTGTATCGGGATGAAGGACACGCAGGACAATGAGCACGGCTGCGGCTCGCAACGTTACATGCGTACGAGGTAATGAGAGCATGTATAATATGTAGCGAACCGCTGGCTGCTCCGTTTCCATCCGTATGCAATGTCTGCACATGGCAATCACTACAGTTCCCAAGATACCCACCATCACTTGTACAGATTAATCCACTTGTGACACAACGGGAAAGAACCAACAAAGGATCCACGTCCTGACAAATGGAACGGTCTCTTTGTTCTTGCAGAGACAAGAGGTGTGCATCAGGAGAGTTAAAGAAACGCTCTTCAGCGAGTTCGAATCCGAGCGGCCGCATTGTTAGTGTTGGGGGTATGCAATGCAAAGGCGAATAGAGGCTCGGAAGAGATTTGCGACAGGATGGCCAAAGCCTTTTGGCCTTTGCTCGAGCTGCTTTAGACGGGCAACTGGAGGCAGGGGAGGCCTGGCCGCGGGTCTCTTGCATTGAAGCTTTCCCATATAGCAGAGATGGTCTTGTCAGCATTTGACAGAACTTGCTTCAGTGCCTCGCCCCCAACAGTGATGAACACAGCGAACCCAGTACATCAGAACGCCTTGCGGGAAGAAGAGAAGTCGATAGCACAAAATGTCTTGAACTTGACCACAGATTCCTGCACCACCGAGCTTGCTTGAGACGCTACTGGACAAGGCCCGGTCCCCGGCTTGGCAGGGAATTCTCGGCACCGGCGTGGTCGGGAACAACGCGGGGATTTGCGGGCCTAGCAATGCCTGTACGTACCTTTGCGTTGGGAAGCAAGCCAAGCGCAGAGCGGTAGATCCCGGCATCCAAAGCCCGAAGTGGATTCACGACAGCTCGGCATGTCAGGGAGACGATGTACATGGAACAGATCAGGTCAAGAGTATCTTCGGTGCTGGAGAGCTTTGACGAGCTTGGGTGAGCATGCTGCATCGTGCCTAGAAGGCGCTGCAAAGACGTGTGACCAAGGACGGACCCTTAGAATCCCCAACTCTGGCAAAGCAGACTTGCATAGTTGATGCCGCTACGATGCCTCGCACGCTGAAGCTGGCGGCTTCGGGCAAAAAGGCTACATTCTGGGCTTGTTTCCGAGGGCGGGCGAAAAGCTGCAAGAGCCTGCTCAGGGGTGCAGAGGCTTGGTGCCTTGGTGTCGCGGTTCCAGTGTTTCCCCAGGGCGGCGTTTGGATCTGTGCAGTCGCATTGCAGTGGCAGGCTTTGCCCTGATGCCAAGACGCATAAAAATGGCATATAGCATGAGTTGAAAGGGGTCGTCGGCAGCGTTTCTGCAGTTGAGGCCAGAGCCAGGAGCGTTTTCCAACACCCGCATTCACCGTTGTTTCTCATCGAGGGAGATGCAGCAGCTGCTGCATGTCACCCTCAACCAGGGTTTTATGAGGTTCCGAAGTCTCAGGCGCAACCGGAGTCCAAAAACCCATACGAGAGAGCTAGCAGTACTGCACGAGCAATGCTGGCTGTTGGACGATGACAGGTTGGAATTTCAGAAGCCATGTCACGTGTAACACCATGCATCACTAGACAGAGCCTGGGAGCCCGAGCCGATAGGGAGCTTCAGTGCACCTCAGCGAAGAGGATGACCTGCCCCCATGCGGAGGCGACGGCCTCCGATTGCGGCAAGCACCCTTCGTCGGGCACCCGTCAGAGGCCAACTGCGAACCGATGTTGCCGTGTGGAACCCTGGGATCAATTCCCATGACTCTTGGGGCGGTTGTCGCACGAACACCCGGCCGTTCATTCACGCTTGCGCGTCCTTTTTGGAGTAGTTGAGCTCCGCGCAGGCGCTACAAGCACTACAGCGACAAAGAACTGGCGCGGCTCCCAGCAGTTGAAAGCGCACTGAACCGTCTGCAATCCTCCAGGTGTGACAACTAAGATCCTTGAACATCGGTATCATGCGTTCGTCAGCTCTGTTGAGTTTCCACAGCAAACTGATCTAGCCATCTGCTTCAATTTCAACGTATGCCACAGGCATCGCTCCTGCGCGAGAAGGCACAGACTCTCTGCATGCTCGCGAAGCCGACTAGATCGCCGGCTGTCGCTCGCAGTCAGAAGTCATAGTCTGATGCCTCCTCGCCTGTGCTCCTTCACAGCTGTTGCCTTGCAAGCTACCTTTATCCGCACACCAATCGAAGAGACTTTCGTGATTCGTATACTCATCGAGTTGAATGCCGTCGAAGCCGGTATGTGTGGTCTAGGGATGAATCAAATTCATAGTTGCAGAGGTGTGATGAGCTTGTAAGGACATGGGCACCATGGTGCAGTCTTATCCATTGACGTGTTTCCTGTAGTGGCCGTAGTGTCACTGTGCAGTTTTGGTTCGAGTTGAGTTGCGTGCTCGCGTCAGGACGACTAGCCCCGGAGCTGGCATCGTCAGTGGGAGCAAAAAGGTGTTTGGCAACCAGATGAGTGAGATCTTTCCTCTGACTCAACAGCGCTTCCGCTCCAGAGCAGCAATTCCTATATTACCAATCTATAAGTTATAGACTGTGATATATGCGGCAATATAACACCGCTGTATCGGTCCGTCTTAGTACTCAAAGTCCGAGCATCAGTCAGCCCTGAGTCGGAAAACATGACTTGATGTAGGATAAGGGAATCACTGTGAATACTACTAACATGATATCTCGAAATATGTGTATTTTTCAAACCATGTTTATCACAATCGTTCATGTCCTTAAGGCCCGTTAGATTCTTCACCGAGACGACTTCAATGGTTAGTCCATAGTGCACGCACCAAAGTTGCTCATAGTTCTTCCTCGTGGGATTGCAGCGAAGCAAAGACCTTACGTGAGCCTAGCCTTTCACCAGGAGCTTGTCGTGCGTCCTGGAAACCGCAAGCAAGGCCAAGAATTAGCGACAATATCAACAAGACCTGTGTTAAGCTCCTTGAGGCAGAGACAAACAACCAAGCAACGAACAAACGAACGCACAAAGAAAGCGAATCGAACATAAAGACAGCTCGCCAGATAGAAAAGCGAGAACAACCAGCGAAAGCAGCAAAGCCAACACAGTGGTGGGCAGTCTGAGAAGGAACATCATAGCATGGTGTAGTTCTACACTGTATCGTGCAGTCTCTCGTTGTAGCTTCCTTTGTTGCCGTCGTCATGGCCGTGATCCTCCATAGTGCATTGCTTTCGATGTTTTATGCTATGGAAGGAGTATCCATGGCAGCAAAAACAGCAGCAGCACTGGCAGCAAGAAAGCCTTGGAAGCGTGGGGGGCTAACGTGATCACTGCGGAGCCGGCCGCGACGTGCAGGGCCGGCTGGCGGACCGGAAAAGTCAAAGACGGGCCGAGGCCCAGAAAGTCTGTCATTCAAATTCTTGCGCAAATCAATTCAGAGTTCCCGTTATTCTTTGTTTCTCCGGCTGGTTCATTGTGTTGTCGTTTTTTGTAAGAACGACGTGTTGTTATGACTCGCACAGGATCGCGAGATGCGGATCATTACTCGGTTTTGCTGCACTTTGCACCGCATGCACCACCGCGCTTAAAGGCGTTTTCTTGGTGCCTGGTGGTCACAAGTGTGAAACTTTCCAAACTTGCCAATCCTCCAATTATTAAGTCAGGGTAGGTCCTTACCACGACAGGGTTCAAAGACACACTGACAAGATTTCAAACCACAACGACAAGCTAATTTCTTACACTGACAAGGGTTTAGACTCAACCCTAGCAGTATGTGCTGGTGTGGAGTGGAGTTCTCATTCCGAGAAGCTTTGCATCAGTTCTCATTCCGACAAGATTTGCATCAGGACAGAAGTGTAAGCTTGACACATGCAATTCAATCATGCCGCCCCCCCTCTCCCCCGAATGCAGCACACGGCCATGACATGATCCCCGCAACAGTGTTATAGGACGATGCAGGCTCCATCACATGGACATGCTGCTCCTTGTGCCTAGGGAAGAACTGGAGGTCTGGACGCAGAGCAGGTCGAGGAATTCACGCACTGATGCTGAGACGCAGTTCCGGACTCCTAAGCTGGGTTGGAAGCTTTAGGTTGCTTGCCTTGAAGCTTGGATTTTCTAGTTTCCCGGGCGGGCAAAGCCAGTTGTCCGGTTGCTCTGCTTGCTTCTTTTATGCATTGCTTGATGTGAAGGTTGGAGCTGTGGTCGTAGGGTCTTCGATGCTAAATGCGCAGTTTTGACTTTTAGTCGGGTGCGTATTCTACATTTCAATACTCTATGTATCAGTGGTTTTCATCAGTGACAGTTAATGAAGTAGGTGCGTTTTAACTTCTGTTACTTCTGGGCTGGTTTTCCAGACCACAGACACGGGACACCACGCGATGACATCATATTTCGGTTCACAGCTGTCAGAAGGAGCGGAGCTACATGTCACGGCATGCACAAGCGAGTTGTGACGAACAAACAACGAACTCACGTCCCAAGGAACGTCCGATGACCAAGTTTCGCTTTATTCACTGAGTGGCCACAAGCATGAGACTGTCCAAACATGCCGTTCCTTCACATAAAAATGCGCTGAGCAGGAAAAGCAAGAACCTTGACACCACAGTCAAAACCCACATGATCCCGAGAACAGCTTGATTGGACGATGCAGTCTCCATCGCATGGAAATGCTGTTCCGCAGTACAGCCGGCCAAGTTGCGCAGTCGTGTGTGCGTTGCAGCAGATGTCCGTAGAAATTCGAGCGGTGAAAGCTTTAGGCCTCAGATCGTGAGCCTGTCATTCCACGCCTCTCAGGTTCAATTCCAAATCGCGAGGATACATGACTGCCACATGCAGGAAAGGGAGCTTTTGCAAGACGATGCCGCAAGTACACATGAATTGCCAGTTCCCGCACAGCACAGTCCACCACCACACATGATCAGTGGCATGTTCCGTACTTCACTCGAAAGTGCGCGAGCTTGAAATGGCGGTTTGTGTTGATCTGATCAAGCGAAGCGGCGACTTCTGGCCAGGCATGGCTACAAGTCGATGAAGGCGCATCGGTGAAGTGTGATCCGGGTTTTTTGCGAAGTTGGCCTTCATGGCCACCAAGTTGGCAACCGAAACTTTCATCAAGTGCCAGTGGTCTTGCGTTCGCAGGTGACCCTCGTTTATCCTCCGGTGCGCCTCGAGCCGACAACGATTCCTCCTGGTGTGCATCCCAGACAGAGACTCTACTCGCCTGTACTACTGTCGATGATATAAATCTTGCATTACCTTAAGGACCCTAAACTATGGGAATTATGATATAATCCTTATTAGGGGTAATGTTATTCTCCGAGTCTTTGATGTTTGTGTTCTGCCTTCTGCGATTCCGTGACGAATTGTCGCGCCAAGGTTCACCGGTCTTCGGGGCTGTCACACCTCAGCTGCTTGGATGACCCAAGTTTCGGGTGGGGTAGGGTCCCCCGGTCTTTTGGTGACCTCCCGAATCTTCAGCTCCCAACAGAATTCATGGGGTCCTCTACGTTTTCGCCCTAAACTTGTTAATGCCAGCTGTTCAAGTGTCACTTTCTTCTGAGAGGATAAAGGCTTGGGAGTCGTGGCGGCCAGCCCTCTAGGACTCTAGGATCACTGCCCAGTTGAAGTTTAGGAACGAACAGACGATTCACTCCAAGTTTCTCGTGGAACAGGCTTTTTGGCTTGATTCCTTTCGTGGTTGTTTGGACTCAGACTAGCACAAGTCTTCGACGGGAACTTACGATTCTGAGTCCTCGGCCTCAACTGGACGCTGCACGGGATCCTTGCCGATTGCAGCCTTTGTTCATAAACCTGGAAGTGCGAAAGCCGGCTTACAATCTCGCAGCCCTGCTGTGTTGAGGCAAACTCCGCGCTTCGTTTCCGGCGCGGGGTCCGTACCAGTACCAAGGCTAGGATGCTTGGAAGTGGGTTCCCCGTGATCTTTGCAATCCAACCCGTGCCCAAATCTGGCCGTCACTACAAGTGTGGAGCCGAAACGGAGCATCAGTCCCTCTCAAGGGCAAAGTTGTCAATCAGCCATTATTGCAGACAAGGATGTGTGGGAAAGTGTGCTGCTGATGGCCCTCCCTGCCCTCGAAGTTCGGTCAGGACCGCCCTGACGCCGGTCCCCGGCACACGTCAGGCTGGACACTTTCCCGAGGCTCCTCAGCAGTTTTGCAGCGCTTTCTGGCTACAGCGTTCACAGGTTTCGCAGCCTGTGCAGGCCGCAACCACTCCAGGCGGGAGCATGCATCACGTTTTTTTGAACTCTGCAGGTTCCGAGATGTTTCACGTTTCCATGAGTTGTAGTTCACGGGAAGTCGTGAACTCTGCCTTGTACTCCGTGCACCCGAAATCTCCGAAATTTACTATGGACCGCACTGCAGTCTTGCTCTCTCTGCCAACTCATTGCAAGATGCATTGCACATGTTGTTCTGTTTACTCGGTCCGGTCTGTTCTCGCTGCAATTGATCGCTTGCGCAGCCCCACCGTGCGTGGTGACGGTGGGAAGGCGCGATGCAGGGATTAAGACTGGCATGTCGTGAAGCCTCAGCCAGAGAGGAGCCAAGGGTCAAGCTTGTGAATGTTGCACAGCTCGAGCCACCCAGAAATCCCCCGAACAAAGGTATGAGTTTGCGAAACTTACGAGGCTCACGCCAAGAACGCCAGTTACACTCCCGGCGCTGGGCTCGGTGATAAGGTGGCAAATGATGTTTTTCTTGGGTTGGAACTCAGGCTGCTTGTGATCAGTCAGCGCTTTACGTTGCTGCTAGCACGGCAAAGGCTTTTTTGGTCGCGACAAGGTGTTGCGGATATATCGGAGGAAGTCTTGAGTTCTCAGTGTTTGGCCGCGCAGCCTTCGAAGAAAACCGAGGCCAAGCTGGTCTCTGTGAGTCGCAGCCCGGTGCCGCAAGTCTTGAGATCCGAGCGGCAGCCAGAGGCCAGGGAACAGCGATGGACAGCGTCGATGCAAGATAGAAGCAGCTCTTTTCGCAGACTTCCTGAAGCATATCATGGTGGCTAATTATACGGGATGGCCTTTGGAGCCCAGAGTGTGTGCCGATTCAGGCTACCTGAATCGGGGCATACAATGGAGGTGTTGTGAACATATTGGCTCCTGGCACGCTCGAGTTGCAGTCACGGTTGTCACTAGCTTCTTGGAAACCACGCATGACACGTTCCCTTCTCCGATAATTGCCTCAGACCATCTCAGACCAGTGATAGCAGACCCTTGCCATGGAGCATGCACTTTGGAGCCGCATCGATGCCACTTGGGCTGGTAAGTGCTTTGGCCCAACAGAGTTATTAAACAGGAACCTCACAGAAGGCCACTGCAAAGGCTGTGCAGGCAATATGTGGTCCCCTCATGCGTGGATTGGGGCTGCATGGCATCCTTATGCTTACGGCTGAGGGTCTAGGGTCCTGAACACGAATCGATGTCACTTATACATCCAACTTCAAGATGCCCGGCTTCAGCTGCATTTTTCCGCGAGGGCACATGTTTTGCCGTATATTTCGAAACCGGGGGAGGGAGACCGGCTGAGGTCGCGCAGCTGGACCGGGCCCTGCCTCCTTCGCTGCTCCGGCCCTGGCGCTTCGACGAGACAGGCGAGGAAGCCCCTCGGCCGACTCTCGTAGAGCCCAGGACAGATTTTCTCAGCGCACGCTGGAGCCTTCCTGAGGCTTACGAGGTCGCTTGCATGGAGCTCGCCGCCTTCCTCGCGTGGCTGATTGCGCAGGCCCGGGACGGGCACTGATTCAGCATGTTTCTCAATGACTTTGGGACTTTGAGGGACGAGCACTCTAATCGCGACTCCGACACCTTGGGGGGGCCGCTTTTTCGTGGCCTGCAGGCGCGTGCTCGCCGTGCTACGGAGGTCTTGGCCGACATGAAGAGCAGGCTGGGGGCCGAAGCGTCCCAGGTCTCTTGTGGGAGGTTTTATGTTTTGTCTCTAAAGTCTGCAGAGCACATAGCATGACGAGACTGAGATGCTGGGCTTGAAGGCCCTTGAAGAAAACGGAAACAGTTCCTTCATGTTCCTTCCGCTTCGCCGAGCCATGGGTGAACCATTGCTGGTGTGTAGATCAACGGATAAAGTGGCAAATATTGCCTCGACTTTCTGCAACTTCGCAGAAGAGCCCGTTTTGTCGGTGAGGAGTGAACCATGGCTGGTTTTTTCGATCAGACGAGATGGAGAAGTAGTCAGAATTCCGACTTGCCCCATTGGTCAGCAACGACCGTGTCGGCGTATTCGATGTCAGTGAGCTTAAAATACAACAAAACCGATAAGAGTGTGATCACAAACAGATAGGAGGAGCAACCTTGTCTGATACCTTGCGCATTTGTTTTCGAGAAGCTGGGTTTTTAGTCCACATCGTCTGTGGGGGCGGTGTGCTCTAGCTCTGTTTGCTAGACATGCGATTTGAGCTGGGCACGCTGTTGTACCTTGCCATGTCGCGAAGTGACTTGTCCCTCGCTAGGGGGTTCCTTATAGCTCGATCCACTCCTTGGTCAATCTACTAGTAGTTTCTAGGGAGTCCTCTAAATCACCGCTGAGCTCCGCTGCCTGACTGAAGGCTTGATGCTTTTCTCTAGCATTTCAGTGTCTGGAGTGTTGTTTCGTTCGATTGTGGTTAGAACTTTCTCTCTCTTGCAAAGGCGCGGCTTGCTGGCAGAGGTGGGGGGGGGGGCCGGACAGCAACAGCGAGATGATGAAGTTTCACAGACTGAGCTGGAGCGGAGCCTTTACTCGGGCCTTGGGAGTTGGAGGGTTCAGGACTTAGAGGTTGGGTTCCCAGAGGTGGCGACTTCCTGGATGCGACTTCCCGACGACGCAAAGATGGCTGCCTGGCGTCCGTCCAAGTCAGACTCTTCTACACTGCTAGCCGGACGTCTGCGAGTCATGGAAGGGTAGTAACACAGATACTAGTCCCAGCAAATCTGTGGAGCAGCCTCGCTGAGGACTGGATACCTTCGGACTCTCGGCAACCAGCCTGTCCGGCCTGACTGAATGGTGTGTGCTGATTCTTAGAAGCCGCTGCTTGTGTTTGCTCATCTGGCGCCCTGCCGACATGTCGAGGACCATCATGCCTTCCTCGCCGACGTACTCACCTCGAGCCCTCTGCAGAAGGCAGTGTGAGTGAAGCGATGCTTCTTGAGAGCCCTCGTGATCTCTAGTGATCTCTAGTGCAGAGCTTTTGGGGTTTTTTTTGGGGGGGAAGAAGCCTCGGCAGGAGAGCTGGGTGCCCGAGCGACGACTGCGCCGCAAAACCTGCCAGCCAGGCCTTGCAAGGGAATTTCTTGCTACATCCGACCCCCCCTTCGTCATCTGCACAAGAAGCCTGAAATCCCAAATCCCCAAGCGCTTCAAGCGCAAGTGGGCGGCCAGCTGCAAGCACATGCCACAGCTTGTGGTGAAGAAGCGTGCAGTCTTGTGATTTGCAGAAGATGCGGCACACATCTGCATTGAAGCCTGAAGGTTCCCGGTTGCGTACGAAGCAACATGGTGATTTCAAACAGCAGGTCTTGGCGCCGGCGATGCCCTCCACGGACGGTGTGTCCCGACAGATCAATTTACCCAGCCTCATCACAGCTTCTAACGTGATGTACTAGTCTGCTGACTGCAGAGCTTTCTGGTGTCCGCCAGCACCTCAAGCTCGAAGTTCTCCCCGATGTACCACATTCCTCAGCAAAGGATGTTCGGGGCAGAGCTTGACCCGGCGCGGCCGCGGAATTCATTCGGACGCGGCTACCTGCCGCTGCAATCTGTTTGATGTCCGATGTCCAGTGGCAACTGTGGGAGGCCCAAGCGAACAACTAAGCTAAAGTAAGAGGGTCGCTCCCTTGACCCGTGGCACCGAGGGACTCTTCTTCCAGCAAAGTCCCTGTTTCCAGTCTGAAACATTGGGCTCCGCTGAAATTTAGGGGGACATCTTTGTTGGCTCTTCCAAACTCCAGGGCCTCCCTGGAGCAGTCCAACAACTCACAGTCTTGCTCCTCGCTTCAGAGGGAAGCAGGAGGAAGTCTCTCTCTTTTGCAGCCTTTTGACAGTGACGGCAGTCCGCTGGGTGCCTGGACGCTAGCAAGAAGGGCTCTGCCACTCGCGGCTGGGAGCCGAGAGCGAGACGAAAGAGTCACTTATACTAACTATTTGGGGGGATGTCCTGTTTTATCGTTAAACTTCTCTCCATGACTGGCCAACGTGGCCAGGAGCTTGCTTGAATTCATGGGTTTTCAGCTGTTGAGAAGGCTCCCGGAGATATCGCTCACGTCTCACAGCGGGGGTGCTGCACTGGCTTGGAGACACAGTCTTCAGTGCAGCAGGTTGGATGGCAGGCGCGAAAAGTAAGGCGGCAGTTTGAAGTTCGGGGACTTCGAGCGTCTTGAGTGGTTTGCGAATCTTAAGGGCAGGGTTTTGCTGGAGTGCCAGAAAGACCAAGCAGACTTCAGAAAAGCAGTACACACAATGCCCAAGTCCAACAATCCCAAAACCAGGGAAGAACAGCTTCCGAAGCTCCCGATTCTTCAAGAGAGCTGAGTGGGACAGGCCGTAGAGAGCCCCCGGGTTCCGTCGCCGCGCGCAGTTGGCCCAGAAAGAAGCATGCAGTTCTTTTCTTGTTGGGGTTCCTCTTCCCAGTGTCATGCCATCGCTTGAGGTGGTCCGGACCAGAGTGACTCGGCACAGTGAAGCCTTCGCTCTGCGGGGAATGTGTCGTTGAGCCTGGACGCAGGTGACCCTGGATAGTCCCCGGGTCCCGTCACCGCGGGCACCGGGCCAAGCAGGGGCAGCTGTTTAACACGATGATGCGGACTTCCTTTGCTAGGTTTTCCAAAGTCCATCAGATCGTTGAGCGCTTGCTTCAGGTGGTCCGGACCAAAGTGGCTCGGCATGAAGTGTGGAGGGTCGGAGACAAGATGCGTCAGCGGCAATGACCTTCGGTTTAGGAGACACATCCAGAGCTTCACAAGAACCAGATGTTCGGCGATGCTTTGCAATCTACAGTAGAGACTCGTGCAAGCAAGGCACAAGCTCGCAGGCAGGTTTAGTGACAGTAGTGCTGCTGCTGCCTTTGCTGCGGGTGCTGCTGCTGCTGCTGCGGCGCTGGCAGTGGTGCTCGCCGTCGCGGTCGACGTCGTTTAAGTGCTAGCAAGTAGCAGCAGTTGTCGTCGTCGTCGTAGTAGTCGTAGTCCTAGTAGTCGCAGTCGTCATCAAAGTAGTAGTAGTAGTAGTAGTAGTAGTAGTTGTTGTTGTTCTAGAAGAAGTAGTAGTAGCAGCAGCAGCAGCAGTAGCAGTAGCAGTAGCAGTAGTAGTTTTCATAGTAGTAGTAGTAGTAGTAGTCGTAGTGGTAGTGGTGGTGGTGGTGGTGGTGGTGGTAGTGGTAGTGAGTGGTAGTGGTAGTGGCAGTGGTGGTAGTAGTAGTAGTAGTAGTAGTAGCAGTAGTAGTAGTAGTAGTAGCAGCAGCAGCAGCAATAATAATAATAGTAGTAGCAGCAGCAGCAGCAGCAGCAGTAGTAGTAGTAGTAGTAGTAGTACTGGTACTAGTACTAGTACTAGTATTGGTACTAGTACTAGTACTAGTACTAGTACTAGCTCCTTCTGCTGCTGCTGCTCCTTCTGCTGCTACTGCTACTGCTACTGCTACTGCTACTACTGCTGCTACTGCTACTGCTACTGCTACTGCTACTGCTACTGCTACTGCTACTGCTACTTACTGCTACTCCTGCGACGACGGCGACGACGACTACGACGATGGTGACGACGACGGTGAGGATGGTGACGACCACGGTGACGACGATGACTACTCAAACAACAATACCACTATACCGCTAGCACTACACTATACCTACCACTACATCACCACTAGCACTAGCACTGGAACTGGCACTGGCACTAGCACTAGCACTGGCATTTGCACTTGCACTGGCACTAGCACTAGCACTCCCGCTACCACCACGACGAGCACTACTGCCGCTGCCGATGCTGCTACTACTGTTGCTACTACTGCTGCTGCTGCTGCTGCTACTACTACTACTACTACTACTAGTACTACTACTACTACTACTACTACTACTACTACTACGACTAGCCACCCCCCCTACCAACGGCCTCGGCACCTCAACCCATCATCATCATCGTTGGTGTTTGGACTACAACATCACGAAAGTATTGTAAGTGCCGAGTAAGATGGACGTGCTCTTAAAAAGTACGACGGCATCATGCCCCCCTCTCACCCACCCCCCCTCCTTACCCCTCAACAGCGCTGGTTGGTCTTGGACTACGACAATTACGAAAGTACAGTAAACACCGAGTAAAATGGTGTGCTCGTAAACGATGTATAGGAGAGGCGCCTGCGAGTACTACTGCCACTACTATCATTGCTAGTTCCGCCACGACGACAACGACGATATCGAAGACTTCGACGAGTATGACGACCACCGGTCGCGAAATGTGGTCTACATGTCTTTTTCTGTGCGGCTCGAGGGACATCTGTTCCATATGGTCCATCTGCGCAGTTTAGCTGCGCACATGCAGCTCCAAGAGCATAACGCCTTCTTGTTGCTTAACAACACCGAGTGTGTGCAGTTGACTCTAATTCAGAAGCTGCTGCTGCTGCCCTCTTTTTTTAGTCTTTCTCATATCTTGCCCTTCCCCGCACCGTGCTTGTTCCCTTGCTGGTCTTGGTGGCAAAGGTCGTGATCTGGTGAACTGGTAAATGGCCGCAGTGGTCTTCCCCGTATTTTTATTTTTTGATGCGCTTGTGGCGATCGTTGCAGGTGAAAAGCACAAAGAGAAGAATGGCACCGTGCGCGAGGACGGAGCTGTACGTCATGACTTACGACCTACGACCTGACAACTCGACTAGATCATGGAGTTGACATGAAGGTTTGCTTAAGTTTAAAGGTCCTTTCAAGGCAGCGGCCATAAGCAGTATTCATGAGTACAACTCCTGCAGGAAATCTACTTTACAGCTACAACATGCAGAATGAAGGTCACTTAAATAAAAGTCCGTCGAATCATCAGCACAAACCTCACGGTCGCCAGAAGTTGCGCCCCTCCAGTCCAAGTCTTGAGCTACATAAAGATCAGGCCATGGCTTCCGTGCTGAACGACCTGGGGGTAGGGAATCAGGGCATCACGCGTGAAAAGTTCATGCTGCTCGGCCGGAGTTGGGATTCGGCCGGTCTTTGTTTTCACGCGCATGACTTTGAGTGCAAGAGAACCACAGCTGTGGATCCTGCCCCGAACCGTACAAAGCAGAAAGGCAGGCCTAGCAAGCAGGGTGGAACGAGGTTCTCAGAGATACTAGCATCTGCGTGCAACAAAGCCGCTCCGGGTGTTTTCCACGCTTAGACATACTGCTTAAAGTCACGAGATGGACTGCTCGTTATGCATTCGCCCGAAAGGAATTTTTTTGCGAGAGCACCGGGGCACGGCTTTGGGCACCGCAGACCGAGGTCGATGAGCAATGACCCCAAGCTGTTGAGAGACCTACAGGACGCCTCAGACACGCAGCTGATCCCGGTTTGCATTGGCTTCAAAGCGTCCAGGAGCTGGGCATTAAGCAGAAGCAGTTCGAGCAGATCACGAAGCTCCTGTATGACAGCAAGGTCTGCCCAGAATGTTCAACAGTGCAAACTACGTACACTGGACCTTCTTGACGGAGTGCTTTCGCCTGCTTTGGTACAGTGCCCCGAAGCTAACGCACAGAGTGTTAATTTTAGACCGTAGTCGATCTCGGGCTCACCACTCCTTACTCCACCTAGTATCTAGTAGCTTTGCCCGGGATTCTCGTTGCAGCTTCAGCCTGAGTTTTCTGCGGTGCTTCCCTGCCTGTAACTTACATGGTTGTTGTGGACTAGTCTGTCACCTGGTTTTCCTGCTCTTCTTCAAGCCTCCTGTTCGCTCCTTTTTTGTTCAGTTCACACATGTCTGCTGGACTTCCTCCGTGCACGGCTGAGCTTCTGATTAAAGGTTCTGGAGGCGGATGACGAAGGAATCCGCACAAGCTTGAATCCTCACGGGGCTTCGGTCTTTTTGCATATATTGGGGGGAGGAAGTACCCGCTTACGTTCCGGATACGACCAGCCTCTGGGTCCTGCTCTGGTGCACAGCGTGTTTGTGCCGAGGATTTTCGGCACTGCCGCCGATCACGCTCTTTATATAGAAGACGACTGGCGCTATCCGACTTAGCCTACATTGTGCTTCATGATCTTTTCGCCGTGTCTCGAACTGTTGTGCTACGAATCAGAGCATTTTGCCTGTTGCCAGGAGGCTGAGGGTGGCAAGGATGAAACGCACAGAGTTCTGACCGGTGAGGACAAGTCAGCCTTTCGCAAGATGCTGTGTATAGCATGTAGCGGTGAGCGGTTGACGGCTGCGTTTCGTGTGTTGTGTATGCAGGAGATCGTCAGCGAGCTGTTCCGACTTCAGCCGGGGACTGCGCTGAACTTCTCCGACCTAGCGACAACGGAGAAGGCGCCGAATGACCGCATTCGGCCTCGACTGTGACTTTTAGGCTCGGGTCTGAATCCATGGCTATTGGGGTGTGCCGGTATGCCACAAGAAGACGAAGCAGTCTACATGACGACGTCCATGTCCTGCTCATGCCTTGCTAAGCATCCCCTCTTCGATTCAACACCAATATGTCTTCACTTGAACCTTCCCGGTGGCAGGAGCTCTTGACTTGGACGTCCTTTAGCTTGTGTTTGTGCTTCCCCCTCATGTTCCCCTCATGGCCGTTCGTGTGTACCGTGGGCAGAAACTCTTGGAGCAGCGCAAAGACATACGCAAGCGAATCGGTCAGGACCCCTTCTCATGTGAGGAAGAGTAGCCCTATCAGGCATTCACCGAGAGAGTCCCAAGCCAAGGTCGCATTGAGGAGCTCCTCGCCATTGGCTTAGGCAGGTCCGGCCCTGCACAGAGCGCGCCTCCAGCTCATCTTTCGCGGAGCATTGCGCTTAGGCAGTCTCGAGTGCACAGCACTCTCCTTAACCGAGGTCATGCGGTTTGGTCCTCGAAAGTCGCTCAGCTCAGAGATGTCCAGAGGCCTCTGCTCTTGTGGCAGAGGTAAGCGACTGTGCCAAGGCATTGGTCCATCGAGACCGATGAGTCCAGTGCCGTTGACGCCCTTGAGCCAGATGAGCCCTGCAAGCCCGTCCAGACCGAGGCCTCCTGTCAAGTGCGACACTCTGGGACAAGACTGCTCGACTACTCAGCTTTTTTGGGCGGAGGAACGCAATGGCGCCGACGTTCGGGTTGCAGGAGCTGTTCCGTGATGGACCATCGATGACATCAACAGCAAATTCAACTCCTGCAATCATCCTGCACTCACGTCTTGCAGGAGGGGGATTCCTCACCAGGCGCGGGTGCACCTCGTGTTCCAGAGACTTCCGATGGTCGGCGCACTTGCATCCAGTTTGTGCACTCTCCTCTGCCAGACCGCGCGGCAAATGCCAGCTCTGCCACGCTGCAGCGGCTTGCGAGGCTCGCACTTGTTTTGAAGTCCTGCAACCTTCGCTGATGTGTGGTTCATGTCGCCGAGTCCCTCCCTCTCTCTGTCTACATGCGTCATCCAAAATCGAAGCAGCTGCTGGCGGGATTCACGAGTCCACAAGCGATTAAAACTGGCATTGGCCTGAGGAAGTTCATGACAACAAAACATCGGCTAGTGGTCTTTCGCCCAAAAAGACCTTGGAGCAACGCGTCGCAAAATCGGTTACTGGTAGCTGGAGAGATCGGTTGGTCAAAGGGTGCTATGGGACATGTCCGGGAGCGAGCAGGGACATTGCGATTGAGACATTGGCGATTTCTGCTCCAGATTCTAAATCTCGCAACAAACTGTCTTGAACACTTGCAGCGAGGGGCAAAGCACAGTGTTTGGTGCGAGGACTTCCTCAACACTCACAGACTTGGTACGAGGGACGGTGTGTGAGTCAGCGCTCAGCTGAACACAATGGTCCGGAAAGGACACCCGAGTCTCCGTTTGAACAAAACAACTGCCCGGCAAGACTCACCGCCGCCACCTCATCCATGGAGCGACCAGACCAGAAAAATGCTGTAGAAAGGTGGTCGTTTCTGTCGCCTTCTGAGAGGATCGATTCTCGGACGATCATCGAGGAGATCCGCCGAAGGCTTGGGCTCAAGGACTGCGTCGCTGCACGATAGGGAAAGCTCAAGGGGTATTATTGTGTCGCGCAGAGCAAACTGCCAGGATCTGGGGGCCGTCGGTGTTTGCCCGGACTGGTGCGAGGACGACCTGGCCATTTCAGCTTGCAAGTTTCTGGGATGCAGCCATGTGTTCCGCCACGTAAGAGCCTTCTGGCATCGGCTGAGATTGACAGGCCACGGTCATGTTGAGAGTTTCCGAGCCGTGCACCGAACGAATTTAGTAGAGTGGTAAGGAATGATTCTTGCAGCAGTGCGCACGGGAAGTGGATTTGTTGATTATGTTCATTCAGCCAAGGTTGAAAGAAACCGTCATGTCTTCTGAGAATTGAGTACGACCAGTCTCGAGGTTGCTTGCACCCTCTTGCATGCCGTAAGAGTGTCTGACTCGGCGTGCAATATTGCACTTCGTACATGTGGCCGGAGCACCATGCCGGCAACGTGTTTAGAGACCCAACTTTCGTGTCTGCCACGACAACCATCGGGTTGATGCAGTTCCTCTTTGATATCTGTAAAAGGGCTAAAGGAATGGCCTTAGCTTGAAGAAGCTCGGACACTCAACGCGAAAGTCTTGGTGGAGGTGCTGGGGCGTCAGAGGCCCCAGCTGGCGTTTGCCATGTCAGTTCCTGTAGTCCCTCTGGCTGCGAAAATGGCAAGTGTGGTCCAATCTCCCAAGGAGAGTCATGGACTTAATTTGTGCACTAGTTCTTTACAGTTTCGCGGCGGCGCGAGTCCGTAATATGGCGAAGCATCCAGTAAGTCAGCAGGCACACAGCCATGGACCTGCCTTCGATTGACGTGAGTGCCAGATAAGGCCAGCCTGACTCGGCATCTGCCACCGCCTGAAGTGGTTAATGCTCAGAAGGCGCTGGGGATTCCTCAATCCAGAAACCTCTCTCCTGTCTTTCCTGTCTCTCTGCCCTGTTTCTCTGCGAGAGGAGCAGAACTACAGGGAAGTTGACGAGCAGCTGCAGCAAGCACAGCTTTTGCTTGAGGAGCATGTCGTAATATGTCGTAATGCTACTGTATGCTGAAGCTATTTCACACATTTTTCAAGGCGATAGGTCTGTTAAGCATAGTCCAAGATGTACAATCCTAGCATGCTTGGTTCCTCTTGGCAAAAGCCGTATCTGCGGTACCCGAGTATGACCTATTGATTCTATTGCAGTTGAACACATGTGTCTCATTGTTTCATCATTCCAAGTTGGTCTAACAGAATGCAGCGCAACTTATCCCAATGAAACACACGCTTTCGCATTCGATCCATTTGCAAGCTAGGCAAACGAGCTTGGGTGTTGGGCCTGAATGGTCGTTATCATCCACGCCGACTTGGCTTTGCATGCACCAGGAGCAGACCAAACGAGAGAAGGAGTATCTGAGGGCGCAAGCGACGCAGGCTAAAGAGGCAGCTTCAAGATTGCTTTTCCGGAAGCTTGCTCAACTACGGGTCTGAAACCCTCAATCAGTTCCTGTCGGTGTGAAGGTCCTGGAGGGACGCTGGGATCAGCACTTGCGTGCGCAGGAGACGCCGGCGACAGTGTTCTTCACATTGACAGGTTTCAGGGGCACAGGAGGGAGGGAATGGTTAGGTGGCTCCTGCAGTCATGGTGCAGGACCATCTAGGAGTCTCGTGAACATCAGATGCAGGACAAAGTTGCACGGCTTAGCTGAGAACATGAACGGAGGATTTCCTTCCTCACAGCGTTGGTTTATTCAGAGTTCTTCGTGTTTCTTGTCCAAAAAACGGCGGACACGTATAAAGCGCTTTCAGGAGATTTCTGCGGAGCAAGACTTTCAGAAATCCCTTGCGCAGCTCCACGAGGCAACAGTCAGTTGCATTGCGGTATCGGACAAACCTGCTGCGCCGGATAATTTGGGAGTCCTCGCGGATGATGCGGCTGAAGCTGGAGGAACAGGCCGCGGTCGCTTTTCAACACTCCTCGGAGACAAGGGATCAGCCAGAGGAATGCCAGGCTCATGTAGAACCCACCGGCACACCGAGGCTTGTAGATCTTGTAGGAGTTCGAGGCAGTTTCTGTTTCGAGGTTTTGGGTTGCAGGTGTGGGCTCGAGGGCGAAATCCGAGGCGAGGGAGGGTTCTCAGCTCACAGCTCACGCGAGGCTTCCCAGCTTGTCATCGAGTATCAAACGAGACGGACACAGGAGGAGCTGCAGCGCAGGATGCGAAGCGCACATTCCAACTTGCTGCGTGTACTCGGCGTACTCGGCCCCCTGCTGCGGCGCAGGAGATCAACCGTCACAAACATGAAGTAGAACTCCATCACTGGGAGGTGCCCGGGCAGCTCTCATATGAGTTAACGAAGCATGATGCAGCTTGACGGCTTGTCGAGTCGAAAAGCCGACTGAGCCGTTTTCCCTTTCAAGCTCGTCGGGCTTTCGGTAGCACTCGTTCCTCAGCCTTTGCCACGCCCTGCATGATGTCAGTCTTACCGGAGGCACTTCGCCGCTGCCTTGCAAACGTCTTTCCTCCCCTCCGTCTGTGTTTCTTTTGCAGGCCTGGACAGAAGACGCAGCTTGCACAGGACCGGTGTCCTACAGCATGCCCGATGCAAAGCCAGCCTGTGAGCACTTAAGGCCTGGCATCAGGCCAATATGCAAACATGTATATCCATCTTGAAGCTGTTTCGGGGTAGCCGGCTCAAACATTGAGCAGCAAGTTGCAGCACATGCCAAGCAGCAAGCCAGAACGGGCTGATGCCTACTCCTTCACGCCTCATGGAATTGCAATCGATCCGCATGTAGCGACTTTGTCTCAGTCGCGGTCAGAGACGCATGCGGCTCTCCAGACCATCCCACATCGAGTACTGCAGGGTGACCGCGGTGCGAAGTCAGAAGGCTCCGAGCATGCAGGCGGGTTGGTGCAGTTGCAGTCCATTTGCTGCCAGGGCACTGGCGAGCGCCTACATGTAGTTCGCAGCTGCTCTTTGGCCGGGGATGTCGAGAAACTGCAGTCACAATCTGCGGAATCGGCATCCGTCTTTGTGCTTCCAGGCTGGGATCCGCCCAAACAAGTGCGCCTGTTTACACCATCGTTGGCCGAGCAGGAGTCTGACACAGCTGGCAGCAGCCAGCATAACCCCGCTTTACGAATGGACTGAACCTATTGGCCGCTTAGAGGCTCTCCGAAGCAATCACATGTCGGACGTTTGACTCAAACCTTCTCGTGGAAAGTTGTCGTCCTGTGCTGGTGAGGTTAGCCTCTGATTGAACGAGTCCTTGGTTTGTGCAGGAGCGGTTTTGCTTCTGCGAGTGAGGATGGATTTCCAGTGTCCTGTCCTGAAAGATATTCGTTGAATTGGTTGCCTGCTGTCCCAGGTGCTTTGCAGCCGCGGGAATGGCTCGGCTTTGGAGGGAGCTTCACGGAAGCTGCAGCAGAAACTTTTCGGCGGATGAGTGCACCAAAGCGCCTTGGTCCAGCTATTGCTACTATTGTGAGCGTCCGAGCAGCCAGTTGCATCCCAGGCAGTCGCAGATCATCCATGCATATTTCGATACTCGAAGCGGCCTCGGCTACTCCTTGGGTCGTGTTCCCATCGGGTCTTGCGACTTCAGCCTTGAGCACTGGACTTGCGGAGATATTTCAGAGTCCCTACAAGATCTACAAGGCCGGGAAGCCGGCACACCCCAATACGTAGGGCAGTGACAGTGGTGTAAAGGTCTGTGCGCAGCAGGTTTCAGTCTCGCGCGGTATGAAGTGGCCATCCTGCCGATGATCAGAGCTGCAATGCAGCTGGGGCCAATATCACTCCTTGCGAGCCCTTGGAGCCCCCCTGCATGGATGAAGAGCAATGGCAGGTATAACTTTGGAGGTAAGCTTTTGCCTCAGTATCGCGGCTCCTGGTCTCAACACTTTGTGCGGTTTGCACGAGAGATGGCCTCGCGTGGCGTTCCGCTTTGGGGCGTTTCTGTCCAGAATGAGCCGGAGGCTGCCACTCCCTGGGAATCCTGTCAGTGGACAGGCGATGAAGAGGCATCTTTCATCCGCGACTTTCTGGGCCCTGCGGTGCGGCAAGCAGAGCTTGACCTAAAGATCGTTGCGTGGGATCACAACAGAGATGGAATGTTGCAGCGTGCAGCATGCATTTACAGCGATCCAGATGTCTCCGAGTACGTCTGGGGAATTGGCTATCACTGGTGCTTGGACGGATTAGATGACAGTTGCAGCCATAGGGATCAAGAAATCCCTGCAGCACCACGTCCTCTGCTCAAAGGTATGGGGACCCACGCTTCGAGTGGTGGCCGGGACGTGCAGAGGCAGATCTCATGCGAGCAAAGAGTTTCGATTTGGGTCCGGGTTAATGAAGCGCCTTGCGTCGAAGCAGCAAGACGTTGCATCAGCCATCCGTGGCAGGTGAACTTCGAGGATGCACTGCGGGTCCTCGCCGCAGAGAGGAAGCTTCCGGTGCCGGTGGGGCAGGGCACATTGACAATCGGCCCCCGAAATGTCAAGTCGATGTGCCGCAGGTGATGAAGGTCTTGGCGGGCTCGAAGCACCTGGAAGGCGCTATGTAGCTTGACTTCAGGAGTCCAGGCACTTTAAACTTCCAACCTGTCAGTCGTGGTCGCTCAGGCACTTTCCGGAGCTTCGTGGCCGGCTTTGCCTGGACAGCATTCGGCAGACAGCAGAGCTGAGGCAAGAGTCCAATCGTTTGTCTCCAGAGTCTGTTATTGTGTGTTATTATAACTTCTATGGTCACAGTGTACTACTGTTCTGTTCCTCTTGCTGTTGTTACGTTTGGTTCTGCTCCTTGTCAAGCAAATGCTTGGCATAGTAATTCGTGTAGGTAGAGGGATTCAGACGGAGCACTAGTAGTGGTGGTAGTAGTAGTAGGTTTAGAAGTAGTAGCAGGAGGAGTGGGAGCAGGATCAGGAGCAGGAGTAGGAGGAGGAGGAGGAGGGGGAGGAGGAGGAGTAGTAGTAAAGGTAGAGGAGGAGGCGGCGGAGGAGGAGGAGTCGGTTTAGCAGCAGCCGCAGTCGTCGTCGTCGTCGTCGTCCTTGTCGCTGGCGTTGTCGTCGTCAGCTACCATTGACATCCTGCATCAAGTTTCCTCCGGAGACTCCTGAACACCAGGAGAAGGAGAGAGAGGTACCAAGACACCGGACGTCAAGACTCCCGAGCAGCGAGAAGGCATGAGTACCGGAGACACCACGTGGAGCACCAGAGCCGGGCCAATCGAGTCACCACGGCGCCGAAGACCGGAACAAAGAGACAGAGGCACTGCGACACTTGGGCAAGTGGAAGCTGGGACATTGAGACCAGATCAGGCCAGCACGACAGCCGGGACACTTGGACACAGATAGCCGTCACCGAAAGACCGGCCCAGGACGCCGGCACATTTGGACATCGGAACATCGAGACTCCCGGATGCCGAATGCCGGAACGTGAAGAGGACACCCAGGTACCAGAGATGACCGGAACACCGACTGGGACACCAGCCCCAACAGGTGGCGATGGGGAAGTTAGCATGGTGCCCTGAATTAAGTACAGGTTCAATGACCGAACACTCTTGTTGTGTTCCAAGATATAGTGTTTGTTTCGCTAGTGCGTTTCCAAAATTGTGTCCCGAGGAGGTCGTTCGAACCCGAAGGCTAAACTTGAGAGATTTGAAAATCACAATTTTTCAAGGTTTGAATTTTCAAAGGTGCTGGGCTCTAAGGTTTGGGCACCTTGGGTCGATCTCGAAAATTTGAGAAGGAGTCAACCTTTAGAGTTGCTTCGAACTCAAACTTCAAAATTTCGTCGCGGCCGAGTTCGATCGGCTCTCAAAGTTTGACACTTGAAATTTCGAGAACTCGAAGGTTTGACAGGTTCGGTCGTTTCGAGTTTGAAAGTTCGACAGTTTCGTTCGAAAGTTTGAAGTTCGAAACGTTGGCTTCAGGTTGGGTCGGCGGCTGAGGTCCATTCGTGTCGAAAGTTAATGTGAGTGCTGAAGCCATGCGAGCGCCTGTCATATCTACCAGCTTTTCCGCCAGGGATCTGGTGCTGAGGGCGACACTTGGCGCTGGGGCTGTCGGGCTTTGGAAGCCCGGCAGGTGGAATTGAGCAATAGGTGGAACAACCTCGGTGCTCGTAACCTGGCTGAGGAAATCCTAATCTGGGCAATGCGTCAGGTCAGAAAGCTTGGGAGTTTGGGTCCTACCTTGCTCGGATTGCCTGCGGGGGATCGCTCTGACTTGTGCTTAAGCTGAGCCTTCCCGTTCTGCTCGTCTGCCGGCGGTTTCTGGAATCTCTCGTGCTTGCCAAGCCCTTTGGGAGAGGCTGAGAGGAAGGGGTCCTGCGCCGCAAACGTAGCAGCTGGAACGGTTCGTGCTAGCAAAGCCCCGACAGCCCCTGCACCGAACGACGAGGAGTATACATATGCGACTGTGAGTGAGGAGGAAGTCGTGGAAAAAGGAGAAGGAATGGCTGGAGGCTAAGGCTACCTCAAAGGTCAAATCGTCTGTGTTGCCTGGCGGTTGGGCCAGGAAGGCATTTGAAGGGTCGCGTGAGGACCGATGGGACAGAAGTCCTAGGCGCAAGGCTAAGAAGCGGAGCACAATCATCGTGCCGGCCGCAAACACTCGAAAATCAGTGAGAAACTTGAAGGGGCCTTGATTCACGGAGTTTGGGTACTGAGGATCGTCGCTTTGGAGAAAGGAGTGATTTCAGTGCCCAATCGCGGCATCACTGACGGAGCCTATCAGCGCACCGTATGCCGAGGGCGACGAGGAGGAAGAGCCACCGGAGGATGGAGTCGTGGGATTAGCGTATTCCACGGAACAGATGGAAATCTGGGTGAAACCGCTGAAAGCAGTGTAGCCTCGTGACGGTTTTCATTGCCGGCGGGGAACGCCGGAAAGGAGCGGTGGCCCTCCCAGCCAGTTTTCCGCAGATTTCAGATGTGGCAGAGCGTGCGGGAGCGACGGGGAAAAAGCCTAGCGAGATTGTGGAAATCGGGAGCGGGTCCGGGAAAAGCGAGAGCCCGTCTCGCAGGAGCCAAGCATCCAAACACAGGTCGCTGGCAGACAAAGTGATTCCAGCCAAGCGAGGAGGCGGAGGACGAAAAAGAAAAGGAAGAAAGAAAGGAAGGAAGAAGGACAGGAAAAGAGGAGACGGAAGCAGCAGGACCACGAGCTCGGAGGAGAGTTCGGGATCAAAACGCGGGTCGAGCTCGGAAAGCTTATGCCTGCGGTCAAAAGGAAGGCCGAGAGGAAGCTGGGTGCAGTGAGGCACAGCTATCGGAACGCGAGCGGGGGGAAGGCCGCGCAGCGCTGGGAAGCGGTACCAAGGAGAGGTGAAGATGAGCTTCTTCAAACTATTTTGGAGCTCGAAGTTCGAGCATCGTCCCCGGGATCAACGAGAGTTTTTTCTTTTTTCGCAATGTGCCGGCCTGCTCAGGGACGGGCACGTGAACGAGCTGGCCGATGCCATCGCTGGACGCATAATGGCCCTAGAAGTCGCAGCATCCAATATGGCAACAAGTACCAAGAGGTCGAGGGGATGGACAGCGGGAGCATCGCCAGGCCGGAGACCCTCCTCGCGGCTCAAGGTCACGTTCGACTGGTAGCGAAGGTTCGTGGAAGCGTGGCGACCGGGGTTGGCTGAGGTTGAGTGCTTATTCGGAGGTGAGGGTACAAAGTTGCTGGAACTAGGATCTTCTGGGTTTGATCGTGTAATGAGCTGGACAAAGCGTTCTGAGCTACACTGGTGAAGAGATTCTGCCCCTCAGGCCGTTGACGGTGGAACAACAGGAACCAGCCCTTCCTCCCATCGGTGTCGGTGGGAAGGTTGAAGCCCTTGATTGGTGGATGGTGGTACAAAAACGGTTCCTGAGCGATCCTGGATTATCTATGTTACACACCTCAGACATTGAGCCTGGTCCGTGCCGGGCAAAAGTACATGTCGTGGCTGTTGCGGGCCCTGCCGTGGCGCCACTGCTTATCGAAAGAGGGGTCTGCAAAGCCATGAAATTGAGTGATGTGGGATGTCTTGCAAATGAACCAATTTTCAATGGATTCTTTGGTGTCCCGAAGCCTAAGACATTGGAAGATGGGAGGCTAGTGTTGAGGACGATAATTAACCTGATACCGTTGAATCGGATTCAAAAGAACATCGGAGGTCACATTGAGAGCCTTCTATCCATTACAAAATGGCAGTCAATCATTCTGGGAGAAGGAGAAATGCTGACAGCTTCTCACTGCGACCTGGCATGCGCTTTTTATCTATTCTCCCTTCCTGATGTGTGGCTTCCCTTTTGCTGTCTGAATGTCGATGGTTCGGGATATGAACTGGGGATTGCGTCTGACGAGCGCTACGCGATTGCTTGCTGCATATTGCCGACTCCTGTTGCCAGAATCGCATCAAATACGAAAAGACCTGGTGGCAAGGTTACCTTGACAACTTCATTTTTTGTCAAGTTGAGAACAAGGCAAGGTCCCAGCAAACCGCAGGTGGAAAGGAGCTGTTCCGTGCCGCTCTTGATGTTGGGATAGTTCGGAATCCTGTGTGTTTATGATAAGAATGTTTGGTTCGTTGGCGTTGCCCATGTGCTTGGAGCGGAGATTGATGGAGACCTTGGCAAGCTTAGTGGCGGACCTGCCGGGCTGTGGAAAACCTGTGTTGCCTCCCATGGGCAAGCCTTACTCGGAAAAGGTCGTGAAAGAGAAAAAGGCTGCAAGTCCTCGCTGGACGATGGGGTTCCGGAGGCCGCCTTTTTCAATTTTCTCTGAAATCTGGACAGCAGCATCGAGTCAATGCTTGCTGGCAGTCAGGCGACATGCTAGCCTAGAGCTTTTAATAGCTGTTCTCCTCAGCCTGCTGTGCTGTTGCGACTTCTCGTGCAAAGTCCATCCGTTAATTAGTTGTGGCCAATGACGCACTTGAAAAAAGTGGGGGGGCTTTCTTGGTCTGGCAAATCATTCGCTTGTGCCTGGAGTGGGCCTTCTGATCTTTGCAGTGCCCAACCTCTGTTGGTCATTTCGCTGTTTACCGGCAATGGCGAAACCTTTCGAATTTCGAGCATGTGACCTTGCAGGCGTTCGCACCTCAGGCCTGATCTCAGTTGAATGCCATAAGCCGGCAAACCGCATCGTGAAACGAGCCTGGCCCCACACACTGCAGCTTCAAGATGTCAATGACGTGGGCAGAAGCGTCGTCAGAGAACGTCGTTGTGGTTTTTCCTCTGTGACAGAAGTGCATGTTTGGGGAGGATTTCCTTGCGTACATTTGTCGTCAGCCCGCTACGGCAGGAAAAGTCTTGCTGGCGAAGGCTCCAACCTGTTTTCAAGCTCTACGAAATCCGTGGTTTGATCATGGAAGAGTTTGAAGGACTTGCTAAAGTCACATAGGTGATTCAGAGCGTATCATCATTGGATGTTGCAGCACGAGATGAAATCAGCAGCTGGCTTGGCGTCAGCCGCTGAGGTTGGACCCCGCGCATGTACTCTGCTCAACAGACCACGTTTCGCTTGGATCTCTGAGTGGCCGCATGAAACGGCCGGCGCTTCTTTCCAAAAGAGAAAAGGGTTTTTTGAAACTTGCATGACAGGTTCGGTCCCACCACAATTTCAATGGATCCGAGCTGGGTGGCACCGTGTTGAACCCTCCGCAAAGCTGCCGACAGTCATGACGTCGATTCCGCGGTCAGAACCTCCTCAGGTACTTGCTGGCCTGGACCGAACCCCGCAAGATGCCCTTGACAGGTTGGCAAGCGATAGCTATCGTTTTCCCCCCTACCAGTACAAAGAAGTTTTTGTTGACAGACGGTGACAGACTTCGCTACGCAGACGCTGGTGAAAAGGAGATCCTCATGGACTCATGGGCTATAGTGCCAGACATACTTCATTTTGCCTGTCTGCCTCGGAAACAAAGAAGTCAGCACGCGCACTCAAAGATGAAGGGTTGAGCCTCGTCGGAGACAATTTCAGCTTGAGATCGTTCGGCTGGGTGGCTGGCCAATTGGGCCGCGCTTGTCGGCCCGAGCTCGGAACCCAAGAGTTGCTCAACGTTTTCGGCTCGGCTCCAGGCCACTGCCCGTCAACACAATAAAGTTCCAATGGGACGCTGGAAAAACCACGGCGGCAACTCCTTGAACCTGTCAGCACCTGGTGAGGAAATCGTTGCATCGAAGTTGTGTGAGCCAATCATACCGGATCAGATGTCCGCATCAGCAGGCGAGCTGTTTGCCCCGTCGAGGGGTGTGCGACAAAGTGTGGAGGCTATCTGGCGCTCGTGGAACCAAGTCTATCAGAAGGGTAAATTCTCGCACCGCATCAATGCCCAAAACATGAGAGCTTTGTTTCTGTCTCTCCAGTGGTGCGCCATCAGGCCAGGACACTTACGAAAGCGAGTGGTTCATCTGGTTGATAGTTTCGTCACTCTCTCAATTGTCTGCAAGGGCAAAACGTCGTCTCGCATGCTTCTGGCATTGATCCGTCAAATTTCCGCTCATGTCCTGGCCATGCACGTCTCCTTGTTCATGGGACATGTCGACAGCACCGAAAACCCTGCTGACGAAGGAAGCAGGATGTGACGACTATGGTTCTGCGATTCACAAGCTCTTTGCGTGCCTTCGCGAGTAGAGGGATTTCACTTTGGCAGGCAGCTGTCAGACCCCAAACACTTGAAAGGTACCGCCGCGCAGTTCGGCTGCTATGGCTTTTTGTCCAAAATGCTCAAAATTTCTCTGAACTAGATGCGTGTGATGCGGATTGGGTGGAACTTGAGTGCTTGTGGGCTCAATGCCCGCGAACACCTTCATCTTTCTTGGAGACTTTTCCGCACATGGCGAAAGCTTGAACCGCCCTGCTGTGCACCCCCTCTCTCAGCTGAAGTGGCTTGAGCCTTCCTGGCTGGGTGTGTGCACACCAACCGGTTGGAGTGGGGGGTGCTGGTAGGGCTTAGATTCTCCAAATCAAAAAACCAAACTCCACAACCTCAGCCTACCTTCGATACATTCAAGCTTTCTGAACTCTTCGAGTCCGAAATATCCTTCTCGTGACACCTATCCACTTCAGGTTGTAATGCTCTGCAACGCTCCACGCCCTCAGCCCCAAACGGTAGCCTTCCGGACTCTCTCAGATCTCTTATGCATGTGCTTGGATGTTTTATGTACGCAGATGATGCTTGCTCTTGTTGTAGGATGTGTTCATCAATTAGCTACTAGATGGCTGCTGGCGAATTTTGTCTCCATCGCCAGGCCCGACAAGCATCTGCTCTTCACGGAGGGCTGCCAAGAGCTTGGGGGGAGAAGCTTAAGCTCCATGCTGGAAAGTTGGAAAGTAGCTTGATCTACTGCCGGCATGCTTTCCATATTTCGACCTATTCGATAGTGTATTCAAGACGAATCCTGCTCGACGCCCCTGATATCTCCGAGTCACAGTAACTCGACGGAATTTAGGGAGATGCCTTAGTCTTTGGGATGCTTTCTCTCGCGAATAAGACGGGGGAGCGCTATGGCATGAACATCATTGCGGACCTCAACTCCGGTTGCGAGGGCTGGATCGACTGGAATCTGTGCTTGGACGAGCTGGGCGGTCGACTCGCCTGCAATTAGCCGCTTTAGGAGCGGTGTGTGAGCGCGAGTTGTCAGCATGAGTCGTGAGGCCCCAACCACGCGGGGAACTTCTGCCTCGCTCCCATCATCTGTGATACGCGAACAGACGAAGTCCTGCTGCAGCCTGCGTACTGGTTTCTGGGCCACTTTGCCAGGCCTGGCCACGTTGCTGTTGCATTCAATATTAAGAATCGATAGACTGTAACACTGCAGCCTGCAGCCTGAACGCGTTGCACGGTGTCGTCTCTGGTGAAGTCTTCCATCCGAGAGCGCTTTGCAGGTACATTCGGCCTGGGGCTCGACGCGTGCTTTGCAGCTCGAGCCGAGATCTCCTGGAATGCACAGCATGGCGCAATTTGGATGACACCCTTTCGATTGTGGTCGCTTTGTTGCACGAGCTGGAAAAGCTGCATAATCAACAATTTCCTACCTGCCCTAGATATGGCACTTGCAAGTCAACTTTTGATTCCACAGGCAGCATTGTCGTCAGCTGTGATGTTCTTGTTGGTTGGTTCACTATTCGGTCTGCTAGGGTTCGACCTGGCGAATGGTTTGGCTTTCACTAAGCTTCAAGTTGCCAGCGGACGGATAGCAACAACGTCACATGTCGAGGTGATGAATCAGTCGGAGAGCAGCCTGGAGTTCACGCTGAGGCATCCTGACACTGTGGTGTTTGGTTGGCTGAGTCTCGGTGTCCTCGCCGCCAGGATTGCTGGCTCGGGTGCCATCATGACAGAGGCGCCTTCACACTCTATCACAACTTTTGTTGACGCTCAGCGGCATTGCGCACACGGCGCCTGGAGGAAGAACAGTAAGATGCACGGCCAACCAAGGTGGAGAGTGGTGCATCCCGCTTGTAGCACTGGAGGTCGAAGCGCGTGAGGGGCAGGGCGCTCTCAAGTTCCAGCGTCTGCACAGAGTGCGGTGCACCGTACAATGCATGAGGATTTGGCCCAAGGACGCGTGCCTACCCTCGGTCAATTCTTGGCCTTCGAACAAAACCGAGCTTTCGAAGCATCTCTCCATAGCGGAGCCCGCGCACAGTGCACTTACAGCACTTGCATGCCTTGTCAATGCTTGCTTGTCATAATTGTGTCTCGGCCTGTCAAATAATGTTCGGTAATCCACATGATTGGTTCAGAAATCAATGAGATCAAGCAAAGCTACTGCGACCCGTTCCAGATTGGTATAGATTGGTCCAGCCAAATTTGGGACGCTAGCCTTTGAGCGCAATTGCTACTGCAGGACGTCGCTTCTGCTGGGCCGGCTTGTTTTGATTTGTTTGAGGTCTCCTGGGCTGGTGAGGTGTAGCACTCGTAGGATATGTGGCAAGACTTCACAACTACGACGACTTCTTACCTGCAGCTGTTTCCGTGCTCGTGTATGATAGTCAGCCAGCACCACGCTTAGCCTTAATGTCCCCCTACTTGGTCGCGACCCCAGAAAGCCAGGCTACTTTGTGTGGGGCTATTGATCGTTTTGCTGGGCTTTAGGCGGAGGCGAGCAGGAACAGTAGAAGTCATGAAATGTGACAAAGGAAGACCTTGCCAGCCTCGCTCACCAGTCTTCCTTCGAGGTCAGAAGGCGTCGTCCACCATGACAGCGTGAGATCCTCAATTTTCGAGTGACCAGGGCTGACCACAGCTATCTTGTCTAACACCGTTAGTGACTGGTTGTCTTGGTGACTGGGTGGTCGCGTTTGTAATGTACTTATTCCCCGGCGAGGGCAGCGGTTCACCACCCTTATCCCACATGTGGCTTGGAATCCACAGCCGTATCGCACCGCCTCCCATTCCCATGATTGACAGGGAAGAACGGGCCGGAACATGTGCTACTGTGGTGCAGGCTCAGTGTGGCAAGTCTCGCGGAGTGCCATCGCAGCCCGAAAATGCTAGAGCCAGTCTGTCACACATCTCCAGACCAACATGAAACAGATTCATGCCCATCGTTGTGCTCGCTTGGTGAAAAGACAGCATCTTAGATGAGACTGCAGAAGCGTACTGCGAGTTGTAACGGAAGTCAAAGACTGGCCGTTAACAGAAGGGATGATGCGAAAGAGTCGCCATCACCCTTTTCGCCTTCCTCGCACCTGCCGCTTGAGGCCGCAGCTCTTGTCGGTCGCTCCATGGCTTCCAGAGAGGCAGAAGTGAGATCTGGCAGAATTGCTGTGCCATCATGATCCTTTCTGGATGCAGTTGCTGTGGAAGTGGGGTTTTGGTGTTCAGCAGACCGTGTTGTGCTCCCTTCGTATCTTTTCCATCGCGACAGGAAGCAAAAGCGATTTGTCTTTCGAACAGCTGGACACGGTATGCTGCAAGCAACAACCGTCCCAAGCCACTCCTTTTTCCTGGCAATCCGGCCCGGCACAGCTTGTATCCCAAAGCAATACAGCGCAAACTGCCCTAGACCTTAAAACCAGGCGCTTGAAGTTCGGGACTGGTCTTCCGAACCGCAATACCTTGTTTCAGACTGTCGGGCTCTCCTTAAGACTTGTTTTGCATGTCTGTCATAATCTACCCAAGGGGTCCTTTGGCATAACATCTGTGGTGCGGGTCTAAAGGGCTCATAGACTTTTCCATGAGGTAGAGAGCAGGTTTTGAGAAGTGATCCTTGGGAAGCTTTAGGGCATTAGGGTTTAGGGTTTCAGCTCTTGATGAGCATTCAAGCCTTACTTATCCTAAGAAGGTCCAACATTCAGTCGATCAGCTCATGAAGCCCAGTATCAATCAGATCGGGGCGTTGTGCTGCAGTGCTAAATGTCCAGAGGAGCACAGCTATGCAACGCAGGTCTCGACCCGGGAGATGCAGACTGGGCTTGTGGCCTGCTCAGAACTTGCTGAGGTGTTGTGAGGGCATGAGTGGTGAAACGAGGCTTCGCCTAGACTTCGCCTGTAAGATTCTCGCTCACGATGCTTCAGCTGCAGGCGCTATGTGGTCGGAGTCGTCGTTTCCATCCTTCTGCTGACCCTCGACTGCATCAGATGATGGACTTGATAAGAACACCTACAATCCGGTAGCATCATGCTTGGTTCGCAGAAGGGAAGGCTTGCAGCACAAACTGAGTTCATTGTGACAAGTTGTGGTTCCAGACAGCCTAGCGTCGTGTTGCCAGCCATTCCACTCTGCACAGGATCTACATGCTGGTCCTGGGTTTCATGCTGCTGCTGCTGTCCATCCCGAGGCGAAGTGTGAGCTAAGCAGATGTGGCATGTCGAGGAAGCCGCTTGAGCACCAGGTTCCTGCTCCGGCTTCTGCTGCAACCAGCCCTCGGCTACTTTGGCCACATCGTGGAGTATGCCTACACCCTGAGGCGCTTACCTCCGTTCTCGTAGCAAGCGGTGCAAGGGTAGCCATAGCTCCAGCCGATTCCAAGTGCTGTTAAGGATATGCAAGCTGCACGTGAAGCTCTCCCGCGCAGTTCAGAAGAAATGGATGAGGTGCGATCCTTGAGCGCTTGCTACTGGCAGCTGGAGCTGTGATGTCATCGTGTCGACATGGGGCCTGGTTTTTTTCTTAGGCTCCACTTTAATTGCCCCCTCGCATGTACTTACTCTGGATCATGGGGCCCGACCGAGACACACCCATGTTTTCTGTAAGTGTTATCCACGCATTCGTCTATTTGGACACTGAGCTGTGACTTGTAAGCAGGCGCCCTTACCACAGCCGGTTCAGTGACATCCGCACTCGCCTTTATCCCTCTGACGGAGGAGCAGCCTTGCTGAAGCTAGTGTCCTTGCGACAGTGTGCAGCAAGCCCTGTCGTGGAATCGTGGCCTACGTCCGTCGCGCGAGGTATGCCATGTCCATGCAGTTCCTTGCCTCACCGACAACTTCTGCTATGTTCTGGTGTCTGAGGCATCGCGACCCGCTTTTTGTTTACAGTTGCGGGTTGCGCGGACCCGAGTGTCCTTCATCTCTAAGGGCCTTGGCGAAGCGAGCGAGGCGAGGAGTCAGAATGGCCTCAGGCATCACGGCCTGAGAGACTGGGCTAGAGCACCTTCGACTGCGCTTCTTTGCCGTTCAAACAGGCAAGGCTTGGCTGCAGTGGTGGTCGATCCTTGCGATGCTGCTGCTGTAGAGGACCTCGGTCCGGGCCCGGGCAAACAGCACTGGGAAGCTGCCCTGCCTTCAGGAGGCCCTCGAGCACATAGCCGAGACCTTCTATGCGGGATATGGCGGCCTTCGATTGGAAGGGGTCCCTCGGATCGATTCGGCTGATTTCACTCCTTGTACCGCAACTGTTCCAGGTTTTGTGCACCCACAAGCATTGGGACCATGCTGGTGCCTGCCCCGGTACCCCAAACGGTGACGTATTGGGTGTCCCTGCACCTGTGGATGGCCTCATGTCCTCAGGAGGCAACGAGGAGCTCGCTGCCCGGGCATCGCAGACGCAGAGCTACACAGCAACCGGCCCGCACTCGAGCGCGAAGGCTAGGCCGGCTAGGCTTTGAGTAGAGCAGGCCTACGGCCAGTCTCTGTTTCTCAAGCACCTGGAATCGGGGGCAGCCCTCCAGTTGACCATTGACCAGTGCCCAGCCCTTGCAACTTGCGGTGACAGTTACTCACAGTTACTCAGTAGGCCGATGGGCAAGCCCGAAACGAACGTATGCCGCGGTCTCTCGCCTTCTCCAAGACGTGCCCATTGCCAAATCTCAGGATTCCTCAACGGAGTCTGAGTCCCAAGATGTGACCACCCCGCAGCTGTTGCACTTTGCCGAGAAGCTGAAGGTGTTTGGAGGCTCCCAAGTGTGAATCGGTTGATGGTCGAGTCTGGGTCACTGCAGACTCTGCTGTTTACTTGCAGGGCTGGAAGACGATGTTCCTGGCTGCACTGATCCCGTGCCACAACTCATGTTTCGTTAGCGCTTACGGCCTTCTCAACTCGCTCTGCAGTTTGGAGACAGTTGGAAGCAGGTGCAGCATCTGGACTGCATCGAGATTGCCAACCTCAGCTTCCAGGTGATGCATTGATGCCGCTTCAGCGTCAGGTCACAGCAAGATTTTTGTTCGAAGAAGCCGGAGATGGGATGTAGTGGGAGCAAGGCTGAGCAGTTGGATCTGTCAGGCAATCGGCGCCCCAGGCCACACGCAGGGAAGCGTGATGTTTCGATTGGCGTGCAAGGCATGGCAGGGCATTGGCATGGCACGGCATGGGCAGGTAAAGCATAAGGCGTAAGTCTGCGAAGGCCCAATCTTCGGAGACTGACGAGCGAGCCTCGCCTGAGGTTCAAGTCTTTCAGGGGTTCCGAGATGTTCCGAGTGTTCTGTAGCAGGAGGCCTTCCATACTTACAGCCTCCAGACATGACGTGAAGGGTCGAAGCTTTTGCGAAGCTGCCTGTTCTGATGCTCTCCAAAGCAAACGAGGTCTGGATGCTCTTTTCACCGGTGACACCCTCTTTTCTGGTGGGTGTGGTGCCAACTTCGAGGGCAGCGAGTTGGACATGGAGCATTGCTTTGGCACCATACTGGACACGAGCCCCTGCTTCGCTCGGTGCAATCTGTGATGCCGGCAACGTACTGCTGTGCAGGAGATCTGTGAACCGAGCTACAAGACGTGGCTCTTCCCAGGTCACGAGACTTGGCCAAAAAAGCTCAACATGTTGGAAGCATGTCCCCAAGCCCTGGTCGCGAAGGAATACACCTGCATGCTGATGGAGAACGCTTTGGTGGAGGCATGGGGGGTTAGCTGGTGGCTCCATGAGCTGGAGAGTCCTTTGCAGAGCCGCCCAGGCTTGCGACAAAGCGGCTTCGCGTCCTCCAGGGTGCCTCGCCCAGGGAAGCCAAGGGATCTGGTTGTGAGTTGCGGGCAAGGAATCTTCAGGGCATGCTTCTTGATTTTTCCCGAGATTTCAATTGGTGTCGGGATGAGGTGGTGGAACGCCTGTTCAAGCAAGGACCTTCATGCAAATTTGGATATTTTGGATTCAGGTTCGCTGGTTTTAAGCGCTTCAGGCTTTGAGGCATCTGGCCGGCGGGCATCCAAAGCGAAAGAGAGGGTTCCATGTGTGTCGTCAAGGTATTTCATCGCTGTCTGCAGTGCCTTCTACACTGTCGAGATCTCAGGAAAGACTTGGGCTGTGCTCGATTCAGTATCTCCCCCGGCTGAGGCGGCACACCGCCGCGCATTGCGGGATCGCCTCCCCACGGTACCGGTGTTGCTGGACACTGGGCAGCAAGGAATCTTGCGTGACTTGCAGAAAGCATCCAGAAGCTCAGGACGGAGAGCAGATGGTCAATCCACGTTTCAAAGCATTGCGGCGGCATGCTCGCACGCTCTTGGCAGCTGCGCAGCAAGCGGGGGTGCAGGTGCGGCATGCGAGCTCAAAGGTTTGAAGACCTGGATGCTTGTTGCATCTTTTGAAGGGCGAAGCGGCTGACCTCTCCGTCGGTACTGCCCAGGCGGGAGTGGTTAGAACTCGACTTTGGCACAAGATCCGTGTTTCCAAGCTCCAGCCGAGGTGCCAGCATTTCCCGTGCCGCAGTCTGCACCCAGCCGCAAGATCGCAACCGGCCAGAAGGGAGAAGGTGCTTTTGGTACACCTGTACGTAGCCCAACTGTTTTGCACCCTGTCGCAGTACACGGCGAGCTGTAGTTAAGTGGGCCGTATTGCGAAAAATGCACCTTGTACGTTCGTCGGTTGCATGGCCGTTGGTGTTGCATGTGTAGTGTGGTGTAGCACAACATGCGTCCGCCAATCTCGAAATGAAATGCCGTGCGCTTGTCAGCATGCATACGCACACAAGACAACTACTCTCACACACTCCTGAAAAGTTGAGCTCTGCCTGCTTAGATCTGCCAGCTAGGAGAGAGCCAGAGCCTAGCAGGCCCAGCGCTCGCGGAAGCGTTGAAGTGTCGAAGAAGCGCGAGCAGGCGGAGAGAGCCTCTTGGTGGCCAGCGGCGCCCCGCCACCGCGTCAGCTGGCCGTGTTGTACCGGGCGGACCTGGATGCTCTGAGGTTGGGCGCAAAGCGAAGTGGGCGATAGGTGTCCAGGAGAGCCCTCTGTCAGCCCGCAGAGCCTCGGCTCAGGGCGGAGCTTTCGGCGGGACTGGCCGGTGCCGAGGCCGCCGAGCGGCTGAGGCGTGGAGGGAGACAGAGAGAGGGACACTATGCGAAGCCGTCGCGGCGCCCGTGTGTGGCCCCAGTGTCCGCAGCTCTGCGCCTTCTTGTAGGCAGCTGGAAGCGCGACCTTTCGAAGCGCTCCTGAGCGGCGAGGCCACTGATCGCAGACCGGGTAATGCGGATTTTAAAACTGTCTCCCAGCCTCGCATGCGATTCAGACCAAGTGTAAGCACATATTGATGCAGTTTCAGGAGCTATAAGACGGTTGATGATGCAGGTCCTGTACAGGTCGGTGATGTTTGCGGCTAGAGGTTCCTGCTCATGTCGTTCGCATTGAAGTGTCTTGAGTCTTGAGCAATATTGACTCTGATGGTGCCGGTTCTGGGACCGCATCTGCTGGAGACGATGTTGAATGTCGGCAGAGCCATTCGGCATCTGCAAGCTCGTGTTTTTCTGGTTGTGCGAGACAAGTATGGAAGGCTGGGCCTAAAAATGCACCACAACTTGCAGGCTGATTGCTTCGACGATTCGGGCCTCAAGCCAGAGGAGGAGGCCCCGGATGCAGATGCAGATGTCTCAGAGAAAGCAGAGTGATGTCTCCTCAGGAGGCCATCAAACAGGAAGCAGCGTATGGGCAGCCACGGGATCTTCCGCGGCTCAGTTGCAAAGAAAGGGCCTTCATTTAGGCCCAGGAGGATGTGTGAGCTTTTTGCCTCCGAGGACGGAAATTCGTCCGAGCCAGGAGACCGAGTGGAGCGAGGTGCCTGTGAAGGATGCGCTGAAGGCTTTGGCCGTACCCGCCCACCTCGCTGTGGGGCCAAAGGCCGGCTGACGTTGGAAGTCGCCTACTTTTTGCAGCCCTCTCCAACATGATCCGCTTGACGGATGCCTCGGACTGTAGACGTGGAACTGTGTCAGGTGCCCTGCAAAGAGGAGGACCACTTCGGTTCAGTTGGTGCCCGTAGCAGCTGAGCACTTTGCTCAGGCAAAACACTCCCACGGCCTCCTGTGTCAATACAAGCACTCCCTGTATGAGGGTTAGGGTTAGAGCTGTTGACGAGCCTCTATCCATTTACAACGAACTGCAAACACAAATGCAGCAGGGCTTGCGACCACGATTCATGTATACCTGCTTGAGCAGCTGCATAGAAATTACCGCAGGCATGATCTCAAATTCGGGGTTCAGTATTGTTGCCCTGCGCTACGGGAACACCTCAAGTTTGTTCGAGAGATTGATTCAGGACCTGCCAATCAGTTTCCGCCGTTTGAAAGCCATCTACGACCACCTTGGGGTACCATCGAGGACCTGCTCTGCAGCCTCCAGTAACGAATGTAGCATGATCTCAACTGAACTGAATAAGCAGGCGAGGCCTTTCTCGAGACGCGGCTATATCAGATCGCGGCTCTGTGCTCCTGCACCTGACCGCTGAAACAAAGGCGCCTCAACTTGGAGCAGCGGCTGTAAGGCTTTTGCAACGCCTTGATGGAAGACCGGCTGGATGAACATGGTTCATTGAGCCTCCTCGCATGCCACATCGGATTTTGCCCCGCCTGCCCCCCGCAGCCGAGCGTACGCGCTGGAGATCAGCTCTAAGTGTGATTGACAGCCTTGAAGTGCTTAGCTGAGAGCAAGATGGAGCATTTTTGCCAAGCCCAATTCCCACGAGGCTCAGGTACATACATAATCCAAAACCACCGACTCGGAACCATTAGAGTCTCTAGAGACCTGAAATGTGCTTGCATCAATGTCTGATGATTGTTGCGTATTACGGAAGAAACAATCCTCGCCCAAAGCAGGAGTCCCTCCATGTATGGTGATACGATGTAACTAATGTACTCAAAGTCGGATATCTCACCGGGACCCTGCATGCTTCACTGTGCAGACGGCATGGAAGCAAGCGCGGAGCTGGATTCTTCAAGCGATTGTGAAACTGAGATACTTGAGGAGTTCGAGCGCGCTGCTGGCTGTGCTCCAACATTCCGGAGAGAACCCCAGCAGCGAGGATTGTGAGTTTGGCTTCGTGTGACTGTCCGTGGTACAGTTGTCAGATCACCAACCTCCCGAAAGGAGGAGGAACAGCGTGCGCATTGCTGCGTTGCAATGTGCTTGGGCTTGGATCAGCACCGCACCGGGCATGCCTGTTAATTCTTGAATTTCTGGCATACTAGAACTGCTTGTGATCTAGTCGAGCGTCACTCAAGCCTTGCCGATCGTTTCGCATGACATTGCCTAGCAGCACCTAAGGCTGTGCTGCGGCCAGTCGGCGCGAGGCATCGTGGGCGATGAGAGTCCTCATGCTGAAAGGCGCCCGATGCTCCGAGATTCGTTGCCAGCCGAGTGCCGTGCTTGTTGGCGGTATCCCTGAGGCTTATTCGGTTTCGCACGGCACTCAGTAGCTTGACTCCGCCCGATGTGAAGCGCCTGCAGGAGGGACCTGCTGTCAGAGATGGCAGTGCTTCTGGTAATCTAGGCCCCTAGTCCTGACCTATTTTGGTGCAGGAGGAGAGCTTCTTCCAACGAATGCGCCGGTGCCTTCCCTGCTCCAGATCATCTGGAATCAGTGACTTGGGCTTCAGATGCTACTGTAGAATGATGTGGGGTTCCTTCTTAGATCGCGTTTGGTGTATCGATTTTCGAGCATCTCCTCCCTGACTCAAGTTTGGGCGTTGAGACCCTACGTCGTTAGTGTCAGTGCATATTCTGCATATTGGATCGATCTCGAGGCTCCGAGACGGTCTGTGGTCGGAGCAGTGTTCGGCAGAAGCGTAGACTGCAGGTTGCGCCAATCCATCACCGCAAGCCAGGTCTTCTTTCCCCATTTGCAGCCACCACCTAATCACACATCAGAAAGGAAGGTGATGTGTCATAGGAGATGGGCCGGAGCAACCCATGACACAGCACAAGCATGCTTTGCCTAAGTGGACAAGGTTCCGGATTGCATCTCTGCTAGTGACGAAGCCACGAAGCGCACGAGTTCAGGGCGACTGTTCCACGATTGAAAGTGCGTGTCATCGCACCCCTCGACACGTGGCTGAAGCATGGAGTGGAAGGGGAGTCGTGGCACGGTTCCTGCACGGCTCATCGGAGCTGGAAGGTGTCGATGCGACGGGCCCTGAAACAAAGATCAACGGCGCAAGTTTCAGAATCCATGTGCACTCCAAGCAACATGTAGCAGTAGTCGTGGTGGTGGTGGTGGTGGTGGTGGTGGCGGTGGCCTTATTGAGAAATTCGTCGCTCTCAGGTTTAGAATTTGTCAGGGGTTTGGAGCCGCGGCCCCCACTCTCGTAGCTCTTGTAGATGTTGTAGATCCTTTCATGCCACCGTTTTATCTGTTTATTCAAGCGATGCGAACACGAGGTGGGCAAAGCTCCGCAGAATCTGCACAGGACCAGCTGCAGCTGAACATGTGACATCATGTGGCATCCACGGTTCTCGTGATAGGCGTTGGGGTTCCAAGGAGTCCGGTGGCGAGGGCTCGGAGCCGACAACCGAGCCGCCGGAGTTGTCCGAGATGCCTGAGACCGTTCCTGGGCTTGAGGTTTTATTTTCTGGCTGCGAGTCAGCTTGCCGCAGCTTACCCCTTAGGTGACTCGGAGGCGGCGCCGCTTCCGTGCCATCGAGAAGTGCTTCAACAAGCACCAGCCCGAAGGACGCACTTTGCGTACTGTTGAGAATTCTGATGCTCGGCGACTCCGGTGATGGCTTCAGGCTGCCCACTTTGCACATCTTCCTTCCGCCCGACATGCAGTGATCTCTGAGCCAAGGGAGCTCAAGATCGGACAGTTTTCGAAAGCTGTCCCTCAGTTCGGAGACCCTGGTGGAAGCTGTGTGCTCATGAACTCATGAACATGTAGAGCCCTTTGTTGGCGTTCCCAAACTACTCTGTTCCAAATAGGAGCCGGCTGAGTGGCAGAGAGTCCAACCGTCCAACCAAAGTGTTGTGATTCAGCATTGTGATGCATCGTCATTCGCTTCAACAGATTCCCTGCATATCTCTGCGTTGCGCCGTTGCATGCGGCGGTGGAGAGACTTGAGGAGTCGCTGCTGCGAGTGTGTATGTTACGCCGTTACGCTATCCATGCCAGGCGGCCATACCACCCCCCAGCGGAGTTGCGCTTGTGCCCTGAGTTGTTGCTCGTAGTGTACAGATACGTCACGGTGACCGGGCTTGGCCGCGAAAGTGGAGGACCAGCTAGCTGCCAACTTGCAGCCAGCTGCAGTGAGAGCATGTACAAGTCGGTGACTTACTTGATGCTTGTCCTGACCTTTCGGCTCCAGGAAGTGCTTCTTCCTTCCCTATCGTTGTCTAGAACTCTTTTTTCCATGTCGGTCACCAACCAGCAAGTGGCTCTCTGATAAGAGCAGCTCAGCTTGAAGCAAGGCCGCGCCTTGCAGTGTGGTTGCGAAAATTCACTCCCAGGCTGGCTGGTCTTCCTCGCATAGTGACCTCTTTCAGTTCAAGGCTCTCGGCAGGGGCTACAGGGGCACGGCTTGTACATGTAGATATAGCTCACTTGAGAGGTCGGCACCTTCTCCCGTTTTCGGTTTTGTCTTCGTCTTCCATTCAACAAAGACCGACCCGCGACTTGAATGTGACCGTACCCTCGACATCCCTCGACGACGTGAGGGCTTGGGGGCAGCCCCTTCTCAAGTTTTGTACGACCATTTGCGCAGGTGATCGTGCGCTAAATGCGATGCGATTCCTCGCAGCTTGGACGCTTCTCGCTGGCAATTGCGATTATGACGCGAAGATCTATGACTCCTGCAGCCGTTGCAGTCCTGCCAAGGCTTTCGCTTATTGCAGTCTTTGCGCTGGACCAGGAGAGCCTGGCAGACTCCCGACTGCGAAGGAATCAGCCTGAGCCGAAGGACTTAGACCATGGCCATCAGCGTGCACACCTGGTTCAAGCTGTAGACTCCTGGGGAGACGAGGCCGGTTGGCGTAACACCGCAAACCAAAGCCAGCGCTTTCTTGGAAAGGTCAGCCATCGGCCCAGCCCAAGGCATGCACCGAAGGCTCGTGCCGAAAGCAGCACTCAGTTGGTCAGAGCTTGTGCACCTCATAAAATGCTGCGAGGCTCATGACGCTGCCATCAAGCGCTTCGGCTGCAGTTTGTATGTGGAGAGGTGTTTGGCATTGGCGTGCCGATCCGAAGTGTCGGCTGAGGAGGGAGATGAGACACAAAGCGAAGGATGGCAAACCACCCACGAGAGACGCAAAGGCTTCGAGGGGCCATGTGGTACGATACAAGGTAGTTTGCAACAGGGTTGGGCTCTGAGATTGGCAAGGCGAAGCGTGGCCCAATAGCAGCAGCAGAGGCAACGGGTCGGACTATCTGCCGAAGGGCCGATGGTCGCATGCCTGGGGAGCCACGGCTCTTGCTGGCAGGTTAGTTCGCATGGAGGTTTCAGCCACCACCAAGCTCATTCCAGCCACAAGCACGGGCCAGAATCTTGGAATCCCTCGCTGGAGCTTGGGCAGTCTTCGCATGCACTGTCAGCAGACGAGGCCCGATGCCGTCCACAGCCACGTTGAGGTAGGGGCACATGCTTCTTGTGCGTTGCTGAGTGTTTGTCAGGGGAGCATTGTTCTGCCGTGCAGGTTGAGGCCTCCCCGAACATTCCTGTGACCTTCTTCCAGGAAGAGTCAGAACAGGTCGGGCAGCCTGACCTCGTGTTTATGGCCTGGCACGACTGTTCTTGCCCAGGGGCCTGTCCATCCGGTGAGGGTTCACGAGCCTTGGACATTCTATGACATTCTGCATCACAGGCTGAGCAGCACTGCGCTTTGTGAAACTGAGGAGAGAGAAGGCTCCGGTGTGGAGGTTGAGGTGGCAAAGCTCTCTGATGTCCCCGACGACACGGCGCAGCAATTCAGGGCTTTCCAAGCCAGGTTTTCAACATACGTTTGCACCCGGACTTGGTTGTCTAAGGAGATGGAGATGGAGGCGGAGGCTGGCACAGATGCACAAGCTTGACGCAAGGATTTGCATGGCAGTCCAGGAAAAATCAGACTACAGCGAGGTGGCTTCGGGTATTCAGAGTATTGGTTTGCACCGATTCCCTCAGATGCTGAAATTGCGAAGCAGGAAGATGATGGAAGCAGTGCCGAAGATCAAGCCCGAGCCCCGGTGGCTGCCCAGAAGCACAGTCGGCCTCGGAGTCGTCCTCGGAGTCGTCCGGGAAGTCGGGAAGTTGATGGCAACAGTCGGGTTAGGGTCTGCCCACGTGTGCAAAGTGACAGATGCATGTCGTCCGGTCCGGGACGGAGAGTGACGGCACTTAAATGAAGCAGACTCTCATGTACGCACACTGGCCACGAAAGTCGCAGAGTCACACCCGTTTCCCGCATCATGCAGCCTTGATTGAAAGAGGCCGATGACTTCACCCTGCCGAAAGCTGATGAGATGGAGGCTTTTCTCATCGAACAGCTGCCCAGGAGAACTCCCTGTGAGCACCCTGGTGTAGACAGGGGCGCCAAGATGCAGCAGCAGTCGCCGACGTGCTATCTTCATCGCCCGCTTCGATTATGAGAAGAGAGGCCCACACACCTCAAGCGTCTCAAGACTCACGCCAGTTTATCCAAGTCCGGTGCCCGCTCCGCCAGGCCCACGACACGGAGGAACTGCCGACAGAAGTCGCTGCCAAGAGGTGGTGCGCCGGCTACAACAAATCACAGCATGGCACAAACATGCAAGCTCGTGCAAGCATGCAACGCAATGCCACAAGCTTTTTGGGGAAACCAGGCTCGGCCTCTACGACTTCAAGAGCGGCAAGGCTCGAGCAAAGCGATGCCATGCTCAGGATGAAATGGCTGGCTCGACCTTATCGAGGTGAGTGGGCAGCGTCATCTTCGGAGGGTTGTCCTCGTGCCCGGGCCTTGCCTTCCCGCGAACGAAGAGCACATTGACATCACGCATGCGATCACAGGTTTGTCTTCATGGGCATTGCGGTGCTCTTCATGTTGCTCGCTCTCACGAAGGCCAGAGGATCTTGCTGTGATACTGGTTACATTGGAGCACTAAGAGCAGGCTACTCTGTGCATCATTTTTTTCGCGTGCTGATGTGTTGTGTTCCGAAACAGCACGTGGCACGTATCCACGGCTGCAGCGACCCGCTTTACTGTTGAGGCTTGTTTGCTCAAGCTAAGTCTGCTAGGAGATTCTTGCTTTCTGTTTTTCTACAGTCTAGAGGGCCTGTCCGTGGTGCTTCGTCTTTGGCCGTGGCTTTGCTGTTGGTGTCTAAAGCTGCGCCTGCATCGGGATTCTGCATCGTGGTGTCTGTTCGCGGTGTCTATGCTGTTGCCGTCGAAACCTGCGTCTACAGTGGTATTTGTTTATTGTTGCAGTGTTTGTGCTCTTGCTGTCTACAGCTGCATCTGCACGGGAGTTGGTGTTTTCCACAGTTGTGATTTTGCTGGCTCGCATTGCGTCTTCTTGGTGCTTTGGGTTCGCAGCCGTGTCAAAATTGTCAAACGATGTTAGCAACGTGTGATCTTGATGAGCTGCTTCTGCTTCCGAAGTCGTGTCGGTTTTCGTGGTGGCCCATGCGATCTAGTCAAAAAGCGTTGACTTGAAAGCTGTGCATCCATGGCGAATCTTGCTCCCCGGCGCGTGTCAGGTTCAGCAGCAGCAGCAGCAGCAGCCGCCGCGGCAGTAGCAGCAATAGCAGCAGCGGCGGCAGCAGCAGCAGCAGCAGCAGCAGCAACAGCCTTATCCGCCGCAGGAGCAGCGGCAGCAGCAGCGGCAGCAGCAGCGGCAGCAGCGACGGCAGAGGCAGCGGCAGCTACAGCAGCAGCGGCAGCGGCAGCAGTGGCGACCGCTGCGGCAGCAGCGGCAGTAGCAGTCACAGTCGCAGCGTAGCATTTGCTGCAGTAGGACAGTAGGAGGAGGAGCCCGGCTGCAATTTCATCTCTCCATCAACCGTCCATCACCTGTGACCTAGCATTTGTCTTCAAAGTGCGTCCGTGACCGAAGCATCCTTGCCCTCATGATATCTTCCCGCATCCGTGGGAAACCCGCATCCACGCTGGCCAGAGGTACTGCTCTGACTGCACCGAACTTGCAGCTGCAACGTTCACTTCGCCACATGTGTCGGGACATCCCGCCCGGTGGGAACATCCACGTTCGTGCGGAAGTGGCATCCATGGTAGTGTCCACCATGCCAAGACAATGTTCCGCAAGATCAAATTTCGCCTCCAACAGTCTTCCTGGCCTCGAACTCGAAGCGATTGCAAGAGCACTCTCACTGCCTGCAGCCATAAATGCAAGAACCATGCGCATTCAAAAGAGCTGTTCTGTTTTATGCCAGGTTGTGAAACACGGAGAGAGCCGACGCACCTGTTCTTCCGACATGCTTTCTTCAACTGTCATCAGCAAAAGCACAATATCATCGAGCAAACGGCAACCAGTACGAGTTCTTGGCAATTACCCGTTTCGTTGTGACGGTGTTTGCCTCTGGTGTAGGTTCTGGGTCGTGTGGAGTCGCATAAGGTACTGTACCCTGTACGTAAACATGTTACACAGTGCCTTCATGCAGTCCCAATTGTTTCGCACAATCTTGTTTCTTCGATTGTTTGCACTCTGTGTGTGTGTGTGCGTGTGACTCCGATACTGCGCAAATCAGCCGCCTAGCGGGACCCAGTTCTTGATAGCTGTGGGGTAACATGGTGTTCCTGCAAGGCAGACAACGTTATCAGGAGTGTCCTGTCGCATGTCAGTGCTTGCCTTGGGAAGTGTCAGGATGTCTCCAGTGTTTTGGGATGGGCCTGAAAGACTCCAGTCTTGGAGTCCAGGGGTTGCGCAGCTGCTGCATTGAAGATGCTGCCTGCCAAGGCCTCTCGACCGAGCCGACCGGCAGCGAGCTGCAGGCGCAGACGACGCGAACATGCAGAGTGAAACCAGCTCGGTTCTCCCAGGAGCCCGTGGACAAGAAAGATCAGGTGCAGACTAATCATGGCAAGACTCCAGAGGCTGCAACGAAAGCAATTGCCCGAGCCCCAGTGGGTTCCCACAACCGGCGGTGCATTTGTTTGCTTGCAACATTGGAACATAGTTGCTTCGCCTCAGGCCAATCTGCTCGAAAGCAGCTTGGGCACCTGTGGTGGCAGTCGAAAGTTGGCAACTCAGGTATTGCGTGCACCGAGAAGTGTTTCTGACTTTCTGTCTTGAGGTTGAGCCGGGAAGACAAGGACCCACTGCCGGTTGAGGGCACTTGCAACTAGGAAGACCCAAGGTGCACAAGGCGCAGAATCTATTGTCGGCACTGGCTTTCGTTTGCACGGCAGCGGAAACTCGACAGCTGCAACGAAACATTTCGAAAGTCGAAGCAGAAGCGCTTGCGCACAGGGCGTTATCTGGCCAGCAGTCGTAGATGACGTCCCTCCATGATGGGGGGAGACCCTTGACCCGCCTGAGAAACTCCGGAGGAGTTCGATGCCGATCTTGGCTCCGTGGGTGCCCTGCGGTCACGGGTCGAGGCACGTTGGCCTTCATGACCTCATGTCAGCACCGACAAAAAATCGTCGGGGCGACAGGCAATTCCGGTGAGCGCTGTCGCACAGGTGTGGGGCCCCGCCTTGCGAAACGCGAAGAACTGCGCAGCTTTAATCGGTTCGCTCCTTTCGATGCTCCGCGCCCAGGTCGAGAGGCTCCTTCCATCTGCAGGCGGCTACGACGTGACTTTTTCCAAGCCCTTGAGCAGCCGGCAGCCGCGCAGCCCAAATCTATATGCCGACGGGAGCAATGCAATCTATGTGCCATGAGCCATGATTGTTAAGTCCGATGGGCCTTTAAGACGGGCCCGGGCCAAGGCTGCTGCGTCTGGAAGCCGTTATTCAAACTTCGGTGGATTTCTCAGTGCTTGTGAAGTGTCTCCCTGCATCCCATCCGGCATGGGAATACAACTCCATCCTTTCGCCACTGAGGCGGATTCGGAGCCTCTCCTGGCACCCCTGACACGGCGACCATGCGTTCTTTACACTGTCCGGGTCGCATACGTGCCTGCATGACTCGGAGAGACATGTGGCCTTGTGGGCTGAGGCGAACGCGTCCCGAAGGGTTCATGGAGGCAGCACAGTTTGGCTGGGATAGCTTCGGCGAGATTGATGCTAGTATGCTCGCGAGGCATGCCTTTGCCGGTCGCTTTTGCTTCCCAGCACACTGACTTCATCGTGACTTTGTGTGGCTCACCACGGGTGGACATCAGAGTCTCTGGTTCCGAGGCCCGACAAGGACGAAAGTTGAGACAATTTTAGGTAAGGGCGTTAAGGTCTGGCAGTCTGTGAGGTGAATCTCTTTGCAACGAGGGAGTGCGAGTTTGCGGAAGTGCGGGGCCTTCCGACTCCTTGACTCTTTCTCTTTCTTTAGGTGGAGGACGGTCGGACGGTGCGGTTCCAGCGCATGGCTGGCATTGTATGCTTTCAAGGTCTTGCCTTTTCCTTGTGCTCCAGACCATTGGCCGCCTGCTCGCAGTCCAGATGCGGCCCCTCTCTCTCTCTCTCCCTCCCGTTGGTGTGGGCTGAGGCAAGACTTCGTCTCCGCCCACTTGTCCTCTGCAGGCCGTGGTGAGCTTCCGGGCTCTGGAAAAAGCACAGGGGGCTGTTTTTGGAGGCACCGGCTCTTCAGACAATCATGCGATGGAGAATGGCTTGCGAGCCAAAGGCCGAAGCCTCAGCGTAAGGTCTGTGATGCCTTGCTGAGCATGTCGAGATGTGCTGCGAGCAACCCATGTCAGAACTTACCATTTTTGTTTGAGTCAACTGAGAAGTCCAGCGATGTCCACAGCTTCCCTAGGAACAGCTGTTGAGTTTCATGAGTGCTGCCTGATCACTGGTGCCACGGCCGGGGGCTCTAGTCGTGACACATCGCTCTCATCATGGGCAGATAGCCGATGACTGAGGTCACCCTCATTGGCGAGCTCATGCGCTCCGCGTGCGGCGACCTGACCCTCCAACCGCTGAGCCAAGAGCAGGCGCGCGGCATGCGACTGGATGGAGGAGCGCGGGGTCCCGCGTGTTCTCGCAGAGGTGTCCTGGAAGCGCCCTTCCTGGGAGAAGGGCTCCGGGGAGGAGCTGGAGCTCCTGGAGGCCAGCGCTTTGCTCGCTCCCCGAGCCCTCATTAGGTCTCCCAAAACTCCCGGAGGCTCGGACGCACGTGCTCATCAGCGATGATCCGACGCTCCTCACGTCCGAGCTGGCAGAGGCTTCCGGCTCGCAGGCTCGCAGGCTCGCAGGAGGAAGACGCTTGTGGCCTTGCGGCCTGTCCTGACCCTGCAGGCAGAACTGCACCAGTCCTAGAAGTGACCACAGCCTCGCTGAGCCGAGTCTCTCCAAGCCATTCGTCACGATAGCTCTAGGGAGATGCAGACCTCCTTCAGTCTTCATAGTCTTCTATCTTGTTTACATTGCCGACCAGGCCCAGGCTAGCGAAGGCATGTCATTGACCGGTGTGCATCGATAGAAGTTCACGAAGCGCTGCAACGTGATGCGGAACAAAAGCGAACCGTCGTTGCCCCTTCGGAGTGCCAGAGTCGGCGCACGAGATGCACATCCCCGGGCTTGGTAGGTGAACCAGCGCACCGGCCTGCGGGTTCGGAACTTGGAGGACCGGCAAGTGGTTGTATACACAGCACATATATACGTGCACAAACAGGATGTTAGAAAACACATGTTCATGTACATGCACGTGTACATCGATATGTACATGTACATGTTTGCGTACATATACATATATGCGCATGTGTTCGTATATGTACAGGTACATGTGTTCATATGTGTGTATAGGTGTATGTGTATCACTGTCTGTTTCTCTGAGGGTTGAAGCCTTGGTCTTGAGCTTACCTTGTATATACACCGCTGCCATAGGGCCCGTGAGCAAACCGAGTAGCTTCGCAGCTCGCTGGGAAAAGATACGGATATGAAGCGTGTTCCTACCCGGCGGCTGAAAGGGAGGAGGAAGAAGACGAGAGCTGCGAAGATTAAGGGCTCTCAACTCACCAGAGGAACTCGACCCAGAGTCCTCTGGGTGCGGCGCCACTCAGCTGCAATTGGCCGCCAATGCAGGCGAAGGTTCGGAAGGGCAAGAGGCCCAAAGGAAAAGGGAAAGGTAAGGTAGTTAGGTCGCATCTTACCCTAGAGGAACGACGTGAGTTCCTTTAAGGCAAAGTCGAAGTGCCTACGATGTGGAGCCATTGGCCACTGGGCCGGTGACCCAGAATGCAAGTTTTCTAAGTGGCCCTGCCCAGACAAAAGGAAAGGCACAGGGCAAGGCCCGAGCCCACATCGCAAGCCGCGGCGAGATGATGGTGGAGGCTTGCATGTCCCATTAGGCAACGACGCTGGATCACACGCCAATATGGTCAGCGACCTTAGCACAAGCTTCAAGGCTGCTCCCGCAGCCCCATCTAGCAACATGCAGATGGAAGGTGGTGATCGCAAATTTACTTAGTACTTACGAGGAGGTTTCCCGCAAGTTAGAATACGTCACTTAAACTATGATGCAACCAAGCCCCACAGCACAGATGAGTGACTTCCTAACCTAATTTAGTAAATATTATATTATATCATTAATAAGGGTCTAGGGGGCCAGTCCTATAGGGAGACGCGTGCATCAGTAGGTATCCCTGAGGGAACCTACAAGCCTAGGCCCAAGGCGGAAGGCCCGAAGAAGGTGCAACCGAATCCCCCGTTGGATCGTTGTCGCAACTGCGCGTACTTCACTTACCAAGGAAGTTCGGCGAACTTTATGCGCAAAGCCCGTCGAGACTGCGGCCATGTGTCCCAGGAGAGACGGGAATATGTGTGCACTATGGATCCAGCAGTCTGCCCCCAATTCCAGGACATTCTGCAGGATGTGTAGCACGTTCATAGACGAAGTGCCGCAGGAGTTTCACAAGGAGAGGAAAGCCACTGCAGAAGGCATTCTGGAAGCGACCGAGCTGGCGCTTCCCACGGTTCAGGCCGTAACGGCTGATGACGCAACCGCCGACCTCGACTCGGAGGCGGTGGAAGCTGTGCTTGGTCTGTTCCAGGACCGCGTGACGCAAGCAACCGCTTGGGAAGAGCGAGTTCATCCGACCGCTCTCCATGAATGGCTGCGAGAGCCATCGCGACAGTGATGGACCAGAGTACCGCAAGCGCGTGGAGAGTACTTCCCACAGCACGTGTGGCAAGAGGCTGGAGCACGACACGGCGAGGACGCCAAAAGGAAAAGGGGAAGTCCGAGACTCCCCTAGAGCCGGATGCTCAGCCGATCACGCCGCAGCACTTTGACATATCAGACCCTTAGGCCACCCGGCCGTGGAGCGAGAGGGCCAAGAACCCGATGAAATGCACTCGTTGCGGACAAGACCGCTTAAAACAGACTACATCTCCTACAAGGTATGTTTATGGGATTGCCTTAGCATTCCGCAACAAGGCGCTTTGGACCCTCTTGGAGGTATCCAAATATGTGAATGCCTTCTTTGCTTCAGCTCTTGCCTGGTGACTCAGAGCAAGCCGAGTATCGAGGCTTCAGAACTCGATAAAGGGTGCTACGATAGCTAGCTTGCACGACCGTAAGCTAAGGTACCGGAATGAACCCCCCGACTCCGACAAGTTAGGGGTGCTGACCGCATCCGATGCAAGCTTCGCCGGGGAATCTTATTATAGATCCCAGGGAAGGATCCATTTTGTCGCACTTACATCGCAGTTGTGTGATCCGACATGTCACGCATGCGACGTGATGGGTGTGTCTTTCTCCAACAATACCATCAAAACGGTATCCCGTGCAAACCTTGAAGCTGAAACCTACGCATGACAGAATGCGCAGGAGGCGGGCGATAGGATGCGCACTGTCCTAGCCGAGATTTACGGATTCGGATCCCAAGGGACCGAATGGGAGACACTTGCTAGAAGCAAAGTACCTAACATCTTTTTGACCGATTGCCGGGACTTGGCTGACAATCTGAATTCCGACTCGCCCGCTCGGGTTCGTTCAAGATATACGACTGCAGACCGAGCTAAGCTTTCTACGTCAGCCTATCTTCACAGAAGACGGCGAGCGCACTTGTGAAGTCTACCCCGGTGGAGGAGACCGCGTGGACTGGATCGATACAGCCACGCAAGCAGCCGATTGTTTCACGAACTCAATGAATCCAGGCTTTATCGTTCGCTTGACCGTGTCTGGCGTGTACAAACTTAGCAAAGCTAAGCTGTAGCTTCGCAGATACTGAATAAGACGACCATATGTCCCATTATGGATCGCATCAGGGCCACTCGCAAGATGATACTACCGTTTTGGAATATCATACTATCCCGTTTCTGTGGCTGAGTAGTACAAGGTTGTACAGTTTGTACAGTATTCCCCACGCTCAAGACAAGTGAAGACAACAGGTTGAAGGTGAATCACTGTTTGTTTCTCTGCGGGTTCAAGCCTTGGTCTTGAGCTTACCTTGTATATACACCGCTGCCATAGGGCCCTTGAGCAAACCGAGTAGCTTCGCAGTTCGCTGGGAAAGCACCGCCAAGTTCAAAATATATGTATACGTATTTGTACAGTATGTGCATACATGCATATGAACGTAAATCTATCTGCCCATCTATCTATCTATCTGTCTGTTTGTCTGTCTGTCTATCTATCTATCTCTCTATCTATCTCTCTGTCGGTCTGTTGGTCCTGCTGGCTGTGTCTGTCCAGCTGTCTGTCTGGCTGGCTGGATGGCTGCCTGCCCATGTGTATAAGGACATGTATATTCGCAATATGTGTCTATAGATTCATGTTTGCGCATATATTACAATATGGATTGACCCGTTTCGAGGACGTAGTGATCAGGTCACGAACGGGCCTGGTTTCCGCGTAGTTGCCAGGCTGGGGTTTGTAGGATGACAAGAATGATGATGGCGGTTTGGTTGTGGTTGTGGTTGATGGGACAGGACACTTATCAAAACTGTAAAACTGATGATGACAGCTTTGATCATGATTCCGACGGCTTGGATTTTAATTCTTGTTGATCGTGTGTAACCCGAAATAAACTCTAGGTTTGACGGGCAGCTTCGTTCTCATCACGAAAGCTCTTCAATTCCTCCGGACGTGAGCCTGAGATGCTGAGGGTTCCGGGTGAGGGTTGTGCGCTTCCAAAATGAAAGGTTTTTCACTTTTGGACTCCGCGGACAGGGCTCTGGACAGAGACAGTTGCTCCAATCAGCGCAGTGCGCTGAAAATCTGTCCAGTGCAAGAGAAGAAGGACTGGATGAAGAAACCTGGTCCAAGGGTGGAGTTTGTCAAGGTCTGATTTTCAGGCGAGATGGAACAAGAGAGAGACTTTTCACAGATCTCATATTTCAGAAGTCGCTCTTTTGCGCCCACATTGAAGTGCAGATTCTTGTGAGCGCAGTTCAAAGCTCGGCCAAACTTGCATTGGACTGTCCTGCATACTGTGGAGACTACTCCTTCATTTCGCAGGTTTCTATATTCTGTGACAACGTTTCAGCAGCTCCGTCCACTAGAGAGCTTTCGTCCCAGCCCGTGGCTCTCAAGTGTATGGTGGATTACACACGCCTGAAACCACACAAAGATGTATCAATATGTACATAGATGCATATTCACTAAAAATTCCCCGCAGTGGCAGCTTCGTTTAATACCTGAAAGGGTGAGCCTGCTTTCTGGGCAATCCGGCGCCAGAAACGGGTTTCTTCTGATGCTGCTGATGCTGGCCCCAAGGGTGTTCCTGCCTCAAGGTCGATTGCACTTCTTGGACAGCATTGGCACGTGGATTCTTGTGAGAGGGGTTCATGTCTCGGCGGGATACTGTGGAACATAGTTCTTCATTTCATGCGTCTGCATCGGTGCGTATGCACATGTATGCCTATAGGTCTACGTCTGCATGTGTATACGTCCGTATGTATGTATGTATGTATG